GAGGGGGTCCCGTCCATGTGCCTTCAACCCGAAAAGCTCCCAAACAGCTAGGTTGCATTTGGGCAGCAAACTTACTTCCTCAGCCTTTGAACTCTATCTTCCTCACTTTCTCCAATTCGAAAGCATTCAGATGAATCAGGCGATGCTTCGTGAAACGCACGAATGCCGCCTCCCAGCAGCCGCTGTATCATTATGTAGCTTTCTGTCAGATGTGCCGCACAGGGAAGGACCGGGGTGGGGTCCATTTTAACGCGCGGACAGTCCGCGCCGCGCCGGGTGTCAGCCGGCTAGTGCCGCGAAAGCAACCTTCTCCTTCCCGGAGCCGCGTTTGCTAGGATTCCCTTTGCCCCTGAACATTCAAACGCGGCCTTTGGAAAAGCGACTGCTTTGCACGCGCCGGCCGGTGGGAGAAGACCATTTCAATGGTAAACACAAGCTTTGTCCAGCCAACTCACTCAGAAAGCAAGCAACAAGTTGGACAGTTCGATTGTACCAGTCCTTGATCTAAGCCAACCCCTGCTTGCAGTGCCGCTGCCGTGCCGCGCCCAGCACTGGGAGCCTGCTGCAGCTGCGCTGTTCACTTTGATTGGCGGCGATTTTGACCCAGGCGTTGGGATTTTCGCGCAGGTTTCTGTTTTCAGCTGAAGCTTGAAAGCCAGTGTCAAACTACGAAAGTTGTTGCCAGACGAACAGGCCCAAAATGTGAAACTTTCAAGATTTCTCACAGTTGAGCACTTGAGACAGACCATCCTTGCGTTGCTTGTCCCCGCAATGACCCTTCAAGGCACGACACAGCGTGTCACAGCGCATCAGGGGCGTTAGCCGCACGTTGGGGAGGCCGCTGGAAGATTAAGGAGGGCAGCCATTCGAGAAGGATGCCACTGTGTGAGTTGCTAGTGGGCGTGCAGTTTGGGGTGCTGGTGCAGGTGCTGTTTGGGCGGTGTTGCAAAATTGAGGGCTGTTTGGGTCTAGGAACCATGCAGTTTTGGGGGTGCTGGTGGCGGGTGTGGGCTTGTGTGAGATGTACGGTAGGGTGCTGGGACGCCTGCAGTTTGGGAGTGCTGGCGCTGTTGCGGGGGCCTAATCACAGCGCGAGCATGCAGCGCGGGGTGCTGGTGCAAGTGCCGTGTTGAGGCGCAATGACGGCGCGGCGAGATTGATGGCAGGGTGCTAGGGAGCATGCAGTTTGGGGTGCTGGGGCGGGTGCTGTTTGGGGTGTTGCTTGAGGTGCTGGTGACGGTGTGAGCGCAGGTGGCCGCAGGTGCTGTGGGGTGCTGTTTGGGCTTTTTTTGGGGGGTGCTGTTGAAGGCTGGTGTGCGATCATCGGGCGTATGCCGGTGTATTTGTTGTTACTGTTTGTTGCTTGTTGCTTGTTGCTGGTTGCTGGTTGCTGGTTGCTGGTTGCTGGTTGCTGGTTGGTGTTGTTGCTATTGTTGTTCTTGTTCTTGTTCTTGTTGTTGTCGTTGTTGTTGTTGTTGCTGAGGCTGGTGCTGTCTCGGTGTCGGTGTAACTGTTGTTGGTGTTGTTGGTGGTGTTGTTGTTGCTGGTGGTGGTGGTGGCGGCGTTGGAGCAGCGATTGCTTCACTCAAGCCTTTTATAGTTAGCGCGCCCAACCCATGCAGATATTGCCCGAAATGGCCTCCGCCAGATTGCCCATTGCGGTGTTGTACGGCTTTTCTTCGCTCCGTGAATGGTCACCGGAGCATGGCGGCCTTCAGTATGTGCGCGCCTGCTGAGGCGAGCGTGCAGAAGGCGGGGAATTTCCGGGCACCGGCCACGGTATGTGCACACTCAAAACCCGCGTGTCCTGCAAGCTAGACTGGCCACAGAGAGGGGGTTCCCTTTCATTCCCCATTGAACATCGCCCAACAAAGAGGACAAGTTCCTCAATTGCAGCAAAGTGTGATTTTCAAAGTCACAAAGTAGGAAATTCAAGGGCCTGTGACAAATGGTTTTTGGGGAGGGGTGTGCAACAACCACAAACGGAGTTTATTGGAGGCGATCAGTAAGGGCCGCTTAACTGGGCTGCCCCCTGCTAAAAGTTTAACTTTTAGTGGGCGAAATGGAAATCCTACCAACGCTAAAAAGCTAAGGGGATGGCTGGGAGCCACCAAGCTAACTGTTTGGGAAAGCAGGGCGTTGTTAAAAGGGTGCCCCGTTTTGGTGGTTTTGAAGCGCAACCAAAGGAACACCACAAAAGGACACACCCCAAAGAAAACGCCGGAGCTAGCGGGAACTTTCGAGTTTGTGGAGCTTTTGGATTTCCGGCAGGTCGTCTGCAAAAAGGTTCTCAGCGGTGACCCTTTCTCCTGGGTTCTGCTTTGCCCGGATTCGCGTGACACTCGCCACTCTGAATTCCGAGAAAAGGCAGTGACTTCCAGCTTGAGACGGGAGCAAAAACTACTGATCGCGTGTTTCTGATGGCTTTTGAAAACCGGCGGGATGAAACCCAGGGAATTCTCAGATAGATTTTGGAGGAGCAACCGACATGAGTTTGTTTTTCCCTTCGCACGGTCATTGTAAAAGGGGAACCAAAGGACAACTGCAATTGCCGCAAGCCATTGACTGCATCCAGCCCACGCCGGTGGCAAATAAGCCTTCACAAATCCAAAACCCATGCCTGGGTTTTGTGCATCATTTGTGCATGTGTTTGCCCGGTGTTCGGAGCGCCTTGTTGCAACAAGATTGGGGCGGTAACCATGGTCAGCGGAGTGACGTTTTGTTTCCCTGGTAAAAAGTTGTCAAACCCCAAACGGGGTCCGATTCTGTGTTTACTGGGGTCACTGAACAACTGGGCTAAGCAACCTGTGCGAAAACATAGCATTTCTGGCCTACATTTGCGGTTACGCTTTCGGGCCCAGCCCCTTTCAATGGCTGGGGGGGGAGAATGATTTTTGCGGCCGGGCACCAAAAGAAAGGCACAGTTTTTCGCCACCATACAGGGTTCCACTTTTCACCTAAATAAGACTAGGTAAATGGACGGCCGCACCCTGGTGGGGGAATGTCATGTTGACGAAATTCCTTGCAAGGGCCGCTTTCCCCAAAGTGACTCATCCCCTGAATGAACGCGTTTAGTACTGGACTGGGCTCCCATTAAGGTCCGTTTGGCTTTATTTGTTAGCTTCTAGGATAGAAGGGGCATTGCGCTTACAAAGTGGTAGGTAGGTCTGGTTACAGCCTACCATGGCCTAAGTGGGTTGTAGCCAGGCTTACTAGCCGCTTACTAAGTACCCTGCCGCTTTCAGTACTCCTGGGCTCCCATTCGTTGTGGTTTTACTCATGGCTTCGGCAAGTTCAGCCGAAAGCGGCTTCGTTCCAGGGGAGCAGCTTGTCTCGGCCTTGTGCGTGACCGGCCAGGGCAGGCGGACGTTCGATCGCTCGCTCCGAGAGCACAGAGAATTTCGAGTAAAACGAGTTCCATGCTTAAAGGGGCATTGCATGTAGTAAGTGGTTCGTAAGCCTGGCTACAACCCAGACAATGATGAGCGGGACTAAGTACAAGACCCCTTTAAGTGCAGACGTCCTTCTCTTACCCAGCGGTTCAACTTCCCCATGTAGTAGTTAGGTGCTTGCTTCCATTTCCCTGAGTTCCATTTTGCCCCTCTGAGCAGGTCCGCTTCGTGAAAAACTGCCGAAATGGATTCGGCCATGCTAGGGACCAACTGCACGTGGTTTAGCGCTACTATCAGGGAATCAGGGTCACGAGTGAAGCTGATATTAAGTGGTTTTGCATGTTTAACCCAAGGGGTCGGTCCAAGCTTGCGCCACGTGTGTTTGAAGTGACCCCATTTCCGGTTCCATTTGAAGAAGCAGCAGCACAGGGGTAACAACGGTTCGGTGAGTTGAACAACTTGACCCAAAGCCAAGTGGCATGTGTGCTCCTTTTGCTTCCGGAACAACATTTACCCACCTTGGTTCCGAGGTACCTGAACAAACACAAGCCAATGTTTATTTGCTTTCGGGGTTTTAAGGGGGAACCAAATGCAATATGTTCGGGGTCCGCCGAAAGAAGCAGCAAGATTACATCATGCGAAGACGCCAGAAACGGAACATCTACAGTTGAAATCCCTCTGTTTTTGGTGGGTGCTTGGAAATCAATGTTTCGTGTAGGACTTCCTGGTTCGTTGGGGCGCCCGCTTTTCGTCGCGGTTTTCAAGGGAAACCATGAGGCAATCCAAGCGGGCCCCATAAAGTCCATGTCACCAAACGTACAAGGGTAAAGATGGATTTTCCCGCCAACAACTCGGTTGAAAGACACGCCCAGCAAGATTACACCACCAGGCACGCGTTCCATCCGCTGCTCTACGAGAACTTCGCGCGGCAGAGTTGCGAGCCCCGGGAGCTGGTGGTGGTCGACACCGGCGAGGACAGAAGTCCGAGCCGCGCATGTGTCCGCCGTGTGTCTTTGAACTTTTCGGGACGACCGTTTCCCTTTCTTATGTTAGCGCGAGAGCTTGGACGTTTGTTGGCAAAGCCGCGCAGTGCCTGAGCTTGTTTTAGGATCTCGACCCCGAAAAAAATTCGTCTTGGCCACTTGCAAGCAACCTCACGGCTCGGGCCGAAAGACGGCGACAGTTGCCCGTTTCTTGTGTCCATGCAACCATTTCTTGTTGACTGGTGGTTGCTGAAGCGGAAGGAGTGATGTCAAACAAAGTCTTCCATCCATTTGCTCAAGAATATTATCAATTTTCCTTTCTTGGTTTTACAGTGAGTCTGTCACTGGAGATATTTGTTTTGCAAGCGGATTTAAGCAAATGGAGGAAACGGCGGGTGTTCCTTTCGGCTTTCCTTCAAAACAATGGAGTATCTTCACAAACAACATGTTTCTCTCAAGCTATGGAGCACCCTCCCCAAATGGGTGTTGGTTGTTCGTGTTGTTTTCCCTCACTGCAATACCAGCTCCAAAAGAACAACAACCCATGTGAGGTTCCTTCAACAACTCTAGTCACTAAGCTTCAAAAAAGCACAGGGAACACGCCACTTGTAGTTTGGAGCATGTTTTGATTGGTGGAGGTCAGGGGGTGGTTTCCCACTTACCCTCTACAGGAACCACGGGTTTGAATCTAGCAATCCATACCACCGATTCGGGTATCACCTGACTAGTGACTCAGCGAATGCCGCTTTCAAAGGCTGATTGTATAAGTATAGATCTATGATTGAACCAACGGCCATGTTGGACTTTTTTCCCGAAAGCATGGCGAAGGGTTCTTCCGCTAGGTTCACTTAAGTTGTTCTCATGAGAGTCATTACAAGGTGTCATTGCAAGGAATCATCATCATGAAAGTCATTACAAGGAGTCATTGCAAGGAGTCATTGCAAGGAGTCATTGCAAGGAGTGATTGCAAGGAGTGATTGCAAGGAGTGCTTGCCAGGAGTCATTGCAAGGAGTCATTGCAAGGAGTCATGGCAAGGAGTCATTGCAAGGAGTCATGGCAAGGAGTCATGCAAGGAGTCATTGCAACAAGTCATTGAGTCATTGCAAGGAGTCATTGCAAGGAGTCATGCAAGGAGTTCATTGCAAGGAGTCATTGCAAGGAGTCATTGCAAGGCAAGTCATTGCAAACATTGCATGGCTTGCAATTGCACTTGACTCCTGCACTTGCAACTTGCACTTGACTCCTTGCACTTGCAACTTGCACTTGGCTCCATGCACTTGCAACTTGCACTTGACTCCATGCACTTGGCTCCTTGCACTTGGCTCCTTGCACTTGGGCTCCTTGCACTTGCAACTTGCACTTAACTCCGTGCACTTGCGACTTGCACTTGACTCCATGCACTTGGCTCCTTGCAACTTGCAATGGACTCTCATGACTCCTTGCAATGACTCCTTGCAATGACTCCTTGCAATGACTCCTTGCAATGACTCCTTGCAATGACTCCTTGCAATGACTCCTTGCAATGACCATGACTCCTGCAATGACTCCTTGCAATGACTCCTTGCAATGACTCCTTGCAATGACTCCTTGAAACAAGTAAGGAGTCAAGTGCAAGTTGCAAGTGCAAGGAGTCAAGTGCAATTGACTTGCGAGGAGTTAAAATCTCTTCTTAGGGCGGCGGGGTAGTGCCGATGACACTACACGAAAACCGACCCTCTGCGGGGATTGGCGTGGTCGAGGTGCAAAAACCCATGGTTTTTTTTGCGATTTCTAAAGTTCCCGCGCGACCCTCTGCGGGGATCGGCGTGGTCGAGGTGCAAAAACTCAAGGTTTTTTTGCGATTTCTGCGGTGCTCGCGCAACCCTCTGCGGGGATCGGCGTGGTCGAGGTGCAAAATCTCGGGTTGTTTTTTGCGATTTCTGCGGTGCTCGCGCAACCCTCTGCGGGGATCGGCGTGGTCGGGGTGCAAAAACCCATGGTTTTTTGCGATTTCTGCGGTGCCCGCGCAACCCTCTGCGGGGATCGGCGTGGTCGAGGTGCAAAAACTCGAGGTTTTTTGCGATTTCTACGGTGCTCGCGCAACCCTCAGCGGGGATCGGCGTGGTCGAGGTGCCCGCGCAATCCTCTGCAGGGATCGGCGTGGTCGAGGTGCAAAAACTCGAGGTTTTTTGCGATTTCTACGGTGCTCGCGCACTGCGGGAATCGGCGTGGTGGAGGTGCAAAAACTAGAGGTTTTTGCGACTTTTGTTGTTCGAACTCCTGCTCCCGGAGCCGGCGGGTCGCGGGTTCGATTCCTCCCTGGTCCGCGGGCGGGCGTCGCAAGATGCAACTTGCATTTTAAAGCAACTTGCGCAGAGCAACTTGCGCAGAGCAAGTTGCACAGAGCAACTTGCGCAGACCAACTTGCACCGACCAGTTTGCGCAGAGCGCCTTGCCTAGAGCAACTTGCGCAGAGCAACTTACGCAGAGCAACTTGCACAGAGCAACTTGCACAGAGCAGCTTGCACAGAGCAACTTGCAGGGAGCGCAATTTGCACAGAGCAACTTGCAGGGAGCCACTTGCAGGGACCAACTTGCCGGAGCAACTTGCGCGGAGCAACTTGCGCAGAGCAACTTGCACAGTGCAACTTGCGTAGAGCAACTTGCGCAGACCAACTTGCACCGACCAGTTTGCGCAGAGCACCTTGCCTGGTGCTGTCTCGCGCTTGCTTCACGAATGCTTCGCGTAGGGAAAAAGAACGCATCCTGCAGCGTTGGGCCGACCTCGCTTGCGATGTTCTGCTTTCGGGCCAACCGTGGTCTAGTTTTGGTGGGGAGTGCAGTTAAGCCAAAACAAAAAGGTTAATTAACCTATAAGCGAGTGCTTCATACGGGGGTTCATGTATGGACGTACACGTTCAGCCTGCAAGGAAGGGCCAGTGGCAGCCCGATGTGGAACCCAAGGGCTCAACTTTTACATTTGGGATGACTTACTGCAGCACGCCGATAGAAACCAATATTGCACAAATGCCCACGGTATGAGCGTCTAGCCCAATCCTGGATTCGCGGATAGGCGCATTCTTAACTGCCATTTGAGTGACCACAATCTAGATCCCTGGTTGTTCAGGCACACTCAGGGTGGGTTTCCAACCCCGAAGGTGCCTGATCAACATTTGACCGAGGGCTCTTTCTGGGGACAAAGGCGGGGTGGGTATTTTTGCGCTGCAGGGAGACCACAAGGAAAATAGAAACCCAGTTTGGCGAGGCAGGTCGTTTGTGGCCGCTGTACTTAGAAAGGCGTGAAACTTTTGCGGGGTCTGAGAATGAAGGCCCCAAGAGGAATCCCTGGACTTTGTCGTGAGGAAGGTCCACCTGTCGGCCCATGCTTCCATAGGAGCCGTCCATGTTCATGCTGGAGCGCCGGGGCGAGGACGCTCGTTGTGAAAATGTGCTTCCCTCCTTGGAGAGGGCTTTTAGACTTTGTTCGGTTGTTTGTTTCAAGAACAAAAATAAGAATACTTATGCTGCTTCCGGCTTCCCAGCTTCCCTTCAAGACCCTTGAGCCTTTGAGTGTTTTTCCCCGATAGCCAGTTGATGGTCCTTTCGGTCCCGCACTGACTCTTTGAATCGAGCTTTTCGCCTTCTGGCTCGCCTCGTTATGGCATGTTTCGAGCCTTTCCGAAAGGTTAATCAAGAAGGTTAAATCATGAGGGCCGAGTTCTGATGGGCAAGGATCCCCGCGTGTCCTACCACTTCTTTCGCGTGGCTTGGCGTGCAGAAGCCATTTCGTTCATGGGCCACCTCCGCCCATGCTCGTTCTTTCTGCAGGGCTCAAAGTTGATACATGCCAAGGGGGGTGTGTGTTCCCAAACCAGGGAGAACCTGGAACATCATCCCATAGGGAAGCTCACAGAATGAATGAGGTCTTTAGGGGAATATTCATGGGTATACCCTTCACAAGGTTTACCTGAAAAACTCTGGAGTTTGCTACGTGTTGGTCAGACTATGTTCCTATTGGAAAACCTGCTCTAACGGTCACGCAGGGGTGAGAAGCTCACAAGTCGTAGCACAGTGACAAAATCTGGGTAAGACAGCTTCCGGAGTCGGGCCTGATCCTTTGACCCCTGTCCTTTCGGGGGCACCTAGAAATTGTCATGGAACCCTTTTTGCTGTTGGATCCTCAAAGAGATGAAAGGTTTGTCTGGGCCCCTTCTGTTCTGCAAGGGAGTACCTCAAGGGTTCCACTAAGGTGGTAGTTATCCCAACATTTGCGCCACTCTTGAGTCTGGCTGCGCAAAGTCTTGGCAGCTGTAAGACAACAAAAAACTGGCCAGAGCTTATAGCTCTAACCCCGCTCCTTGCGACTGGGGGTCATCTACCGGGTTAGCACCGAGCCGTTCCGTTTGGCTTGCTTTGGTTTCCCCTTGCCTGGGAACCAAGTGTCGAGCAAAAGGGTGGCCCCTTTTTTTAGGGACCACCCCCCAAAATGGGTGGAGTTCCTTTTGGTGTCCCTTCAAAACCCGGCAAAAAACGGGTACCCTCAAAAGATACACCCAAACCTTCACTGTTCTTGGCATGTGTTTTAGTTTTTTGGTTCTGTTCATTTTTACTGGGGGTCTGCAAAAAACAAAGTTTTTTGCTACCATACCAAGAGTGGAGATCAAACGGTTCTTACAATTACCCTTTGTGGGGTTTCCCTTTAAGCCACCATGTGGAGTCGGCACCCGAGGCCCAGCAGTTACAGCCGGGCTCGCCCCGGCTGCAGGAGGAGACCGGCGCGGACGACCTGGCCCCGGGGCTGGGGCTAAATTGTGCCATGTCTTCTTCTCATTTCCTGAGTTCCTGTGCAAGAGCGAATTTCAGGAAAGGCAATGGGACTCAGGAAGTGGCTTATTTCACTTTCATTGTGACTGAATTGACTTTGATTTTTGTGGACAGGCAATTTCAGTGGCAAATGCAAAGTTCTGATTTCTTTGGCCACTCAGATTCAGGAAGTGAGCTTCTGATCTAGCCAACACGACACCGAAAGTGGATTGGCATGGATGGGTAGTACTTTTAGACTGGTGCATAGCATCATGCCCAGTGATGGAATCGGATTTCGTCCATCCAGCTTTGGCGCAGAGCGGGACCTCGATCCATCGGTGCGGCCAAAAACCAGGTCTTAGGTCTCCTTTCTCGAGTTCATAAGCTTCATTTACCTTTTGGGAAGACTAGTTGGCCGTGGTTGTCAAAGCCGTTTTAGGATCCCATTTTGGTTATTTATTCATTTTAGGACCTATTCTAGTGGGAACTTGGGATGTTCACTGGGGGTATTTGGATTTTGACCCATGACCATTTAGTGTTTTATTTTTAAAACAAACAACCAATCAAACAACACAACAAAAAGCCCAAATTCTCGCTCCCCAAAGCGCCAAGTTGAAAGAAAATGCGAAGCTCCTTCCGACTCCGCACCTTCCAACCGAGCGTGCAGGCCCTGCGGGAGGATGATGCCCTGGAGGTCACCGAATGGCGTCGGAGCCGGCCCTATGGAACCGAGGTGACCTGCCCGCAGTTTGTTTCGGTGAACAGGCCGCGTTGCCTTTCGTTTTTCGCTGGGCTCCCCCCCCAAAAGAGATACACATGTGCTTTTCCGCTTGGTTTGCCTTTAAAACCAACAAACAGGAACTACCTTCACACAGAAAAAACAAAACACCGACATGGTCTCTTTTGTTTTGGTTTCTCGATACCACCCAATCCCCAAATTCCCCAACAGCCCGTTAAAGCCTTCAAAACCCTGGCCCATAGCCGCTCCACACCAAAGGGAACTCAAAAGGCTGGCCAGCACCAAATACATGAGTTAACTGGTGCATGGAAACCTCCCGTTAAACAACGTTTGAACCGGGCCCAAAAAAAGCAAAAGAACCGTGTGCTAAATGGAAGCCAACGATTGAGGACCTTCTTCTCTCACAGGGCACGACAGCCACCTGGGTGTCTTTTTCAACATCGTAAAAGAAGCTGCACGGCTTCTGTGTTTCCAAGGGGTGGAGCCGATCTATGCAACAGGCAGCCACACATACAACTCAGCTGCGCCGCCTTGATCTTGTTTCCATTTGTGCGCTTTGCTTTTTTGGGAATCAACGGGTGGTCAAAGGGAGGGGTTCCCAAGGAAATTTAGGAACCCGAAATGTGATCCCATGAGCTCTTATGAAATCAACCCCAGGTACTGGGCAGGGGAGGGGGTGGGGCTTGTTTTGGCTTTGAAAACCATGTGCCGTTGTTTTGTTTTCGGGGGGAGGGGGGCTTCAAGATAGCACTTACTTTTTCCTATCTAGGTGCCAGTGTTTGTGTGTGTGTGTGGATTTGGGGGCCCAGACAAAAATATGATAAAACGTGCTTGTATCTTTCACCATCTACCCTGGGGAGCGGGCAATTTCAGTTTAGTTTGTGGTGGTTATAGCTGGGAAATAGAACCTGCCTGAAAAAAATCGGCCCCAATAGCCGTGGCTGAGGCTGGTGCCCTTCTAATTAGACTCCCTCAGGCAAACAACTGGAAGCTCCCCCAATTGGCCTCTGCAAATGGAACCAAGTCTTCCATTTCGGGATCCTGGGAGCTTCCATGTTAGCCCGGAGGGTAGTTGACTTGAAACCCCCCAGAGCGGACCCTCACATCATATCCCATGGATCGGATGCAGTGTTTGAGTCCCTTGCGTTGATGTGGACTCGTAATGGTCCAGGGTATTCGTGCTCGTTTTGCAACACTGCTGCAGCCATGCCCACAGTCATGGGATGATTCGCAACTTTTCAAGGTCGAGGACATTGAGGGGCTTTCGGGCCATGATGTCCAGATCCAACCTCCCCCCCCGCAACTCCTTGGATCTTAAAAATGTTTTTGAAGTCATTCTTCGGAAGCAGGGCAAGGCAAATGAACAAATGTTAAAGCTCGGTATGTAGGGCCAAGACCGACAGGTGAAGAAGGAGGGTTGGAGCAAGGGCTTCAAGCGGAACCTGGCTTGTGCTCTGGCCAAAGGCGCCTACCTAGTGAACATGGAGGACGGCTGCTTGCGCCTGGGAAGCAAGCCAATGCATCTGAGGAGAGGCGAACATGCGGGGGGCCACCTTTGGGTTGCGGTTGATCAGGGATGATGTCAACTTTTCCCAGCTCTCTGAAACCCAGAATCCGCACCTATCACTTCAAAGAAGGGGCGCTGTGGATGTCTCGCGCGAAGCCATGTTCGCGTCGGGGCAAGGCCTTGCTTCTGGCGGTTGAAGTGAGTGACGCTTACCTTGCCAACGCAGGTGGATGAATCCGCCGTTTTTTACTTTTTAATTTTCTGGACTTACTTTTTGGGAGGACCATTTTAGTGGGATCAAGCAGTTTGGTTGATTTGTGTTGGCCGGTCCACTCGATCGGAAGTGAGGTATGTTTTCCATCCACCTCGAATCGAAAAGTCCAGCGAGGTATGCGGAGGACTACCTGGCCTTCATGCGACAAGAGCTCTCCGCGGCGTCTGCGGTAGTGCCGCAGTGCTGGCACACCGTGGCGCTGGCACATCAGCGCCTTGAAATCAACACCTAGGGTCGGGTGTCTGTGTGTGTGCGTGTGCGTGTGCGTGTGCTTGTGCTTGTGCATGTGTGTGTGTGTGTCTCTTGCGGACATCGTTGGCATCAATAAAGCCAGCGGGGCAGCAAAAGGGAATCACAGGATCTTCTTCCGAAAGAGAGCAAATCATGCGTGTGTGTGTGTGGCTTTCTGGTTGCGGTTGTTGGGTCAACGCTTGGGACCATCGGAGACATGCTTGCAATTGACTAAACCGACGAACAAAGAACAGATGTATATAGATCCTAGGCTGCGACTAAGGTCCCTTTTGGGAGTGGCTTTGAAGGGAAACCAGCTGCTTTGAGGTGGTGTTAGAGGGCAAGGAAACAGACCCCGCGCAAACATGTCATGTGTTTTTTTGTTTGGGGGGGGGTCCATGTTTTGATGCACGCCCGGTTGGGCGAACAAGTTGCCTAAACTGCCAAGCCCTGGTACGCCTTTGCCGGGGTCTCCGGCAGAGCAGGCAAAATATGAAACGGAATCAGATAGTATTCGCTTCTGCTTGCCCCAGACGTAGATGTGGGCCAAGCGTAAAGGGAACCGTAAGGAAGGGCATTTCAACAAGGAAGCCATGAATCATGAATAGTTGCCAGACTTAGCCAAGCTTGATGTAAGCAACTTTTCACAATTTGTTTGGCATGTTTCATGAATCAAGGGCCGTGTGACCTTTTCGTTTTGTTGCACTTTTTGTTTTTGTTGATGTTCCCGATTGACCAGCAAAGACATGTCCGTTTTTGCAGGGGGAGGCGGAACCGTCAAGATGTCCATGTTGGTTTCGTGTTGTCTGCCCGTGTGATACCACGCAGCTGTCCTTCGCGTATCCTTCTTTGCTGAACATGTGGGTTGTATATAGGTGGATCTCACACATAGCTGGATATAAATGTATATGTCCTTTTTACCATGGAATCTCAGGAGCTTCCGGTCGGTGGACCTAAAGAACCGAGAGGATGAGCTCCAGGAGCTGCCGGAAAACGAGCGGCTGGGCTACGGCTTCTGCCAGGGCTTCCTGAGGCGCCGGGGGGGTGTTCAGCTTTCGGCGAAGGAAAAACCTCGGGCAGATTGGCCGAAAAACTTGGGGCAAATTGGGTTGGGTGGGGTTGGGCTTTCCAGTTTTGGTGCATTTTTAGTCATGGGCCCAAAAGGTTAAACTTTTATTTCTGGGTCCTTTGGGCAAGTCAGAATTGGGTTGGTTGGCCGCAAAACTGGGTCAACGTTTTGGACCAGAGACATCTTTGGATTTTGACTAAATGAGCAAAGAAAAATGTAGATCCTAGGTTTAGGTTTGAATGTTGACCAAGAAAAATGGGTCCGAACCCGGAGCCTCAAATTTCCCTTGCATGGGACACCCCCGAAGTTATGGGGCTCTCTTGGTGGAAAACCCGCCTTTTTGGAACCTCCGAAAGTGGCCGTCGATCAAATGGAAGCCACCAGTACATTGAACTGTTGATTTTCGTGTTTTCCAGACCTGGGTGCACGTCTGGCCAGACTCTTGCTGGAAACCGTTAGGAACCCTTTGGGGTGTCCGTCCTTGTTCTCTTTTGCGAGCAAGCCGCTTTCCCCTTTGCAAGGGATCGGAATGAATCTTTAACGGTGGGTAGAGGTCAGTTCCACAAGACGGAAGGCTCCTTTCCTCACTTCCTGAGTTCATGAACTTTAAACTTTTGGCGAAAACCATTTTAGTTTTTTAGGGGACCCTTCCCCAAATTGGCGGTTTTCCTTTGGGTTGTCGAAAACATGGCCCTGAAACAACCCGCCGGATGCCCTCCGAAAACGGCACACGATTGAATCGTTTTGGCAGGGATCCCTTACTCTTGTCAGGGTCCATAAACTCTCCTTTCAACTTCCCGAAATTCTCCGAGCAACTAACATGGGAGATGGTCTTTAGGGATGTCTTCTCAGTACAGGTTTACATTCTCAAACATGGCTTCATCAACCCCGGCTGTCTGCAGGCCTTAAGGGGTTAACAAGTCCAATAACGCCCCCCCAATGGACCCGTCGCTAGGGTTCATTAAGTAGTTAGGGAAATGACATGTTCTCTGCGTCTGATTCGCGTCCGGCTCCGCAGGTCCGCTTGGTTGAAGCAGCCCTTCCCAGACAAGGAGGGCCCACAGGAGCGATTTGGGGAGCCGACCCCACCCAACCATTGATCCGCCGCAAGGCAGCAAAATGCTTGAAATGGGGCAACGAAGCCAATGGCCAGATTTTGCCAAACGAGGCCAGATAGTACCAAGCAATGCACGGCCTTTTATTTTACTATCTGCAACTCAGCGGTTCAATATGGGTTCCACCCAAGGTTTCGTTCAGGTTTCCTTCACTGTCCTTGGCCATGTGTGTTGTCTGGAGTTGTTTGTTTTCATCATAACCGGTTGCTTCTCCGGAGCCCGTGTTTGAATATTGCCCCGCCAAGGGCTTGGCGACTATCCCTAAGTGCCCCAAAACTACATCAAGGATCAATGTGACTGAGCAGCGGCAATTCACCAACACAGGGTGGCGGAATCACGACAGGTTTTGATTCTTCACGCGTCTCAGGGAACAAAGAGGGTTGTCTCAAAATTTGGGCCTGAGAAATGGCCGGGTTCCTTCATATTAGGACGTAGGAAGCTGTCTTCATTCCCGGCTTTTTGGTCGGCAGGACCTGTCTGTGAAGAAATCTCTAGAACACAGGACAGCTTCTTGTGAAATCTCTTTTTTTTTTGATTTTTGCCTTTCTTTTTATTAAAGATATTATTACGGGGTGGGTGGGGACTAGCAGTCCAACTCATGGCCACGCCTTCCGAAAACCACACGTGGCCCTGCAACAAGAAAGCGGGGACGTCAGGAATTTGGTCCAAACCAGACCCCCCCAGTTGAATTCCATAGCAATGAGGGTTTGCAAGCAGCAAGCCAGCAAATGGCCAGGTATCAGCTTCTAGAAATCAGCATTTGGACATCGCCGTGTTTTTTTTTTTTGGGGGGGGGGACCCCCAAAATGCTGGTGTTCCTTTTGGTTTCCCTTGAAACCAACGCCAAAAAGGGCATACAAAAAAAATGGCCGTGGGCCAGGAGACTGAAGGGTCTGTCACAAGACCCCACGAGGGATGTACGTGTTTTTTGGTCACGGGACCGACTACTGTCGGTGCCCGATTAATCAATTGGTATCAAATACCATATTTGTCCAAACATGTTCATTCTCTCCCCCAAAACGGAGAAAGGGTACCGAGCCGAAGACAAAACTGCTACCTGATACAAGTTGCAGAGTTCAAATTGACGCGGCGTTCGCCTCCATTGGCCTCCGAATTTCAGGTTTGCTCCGGTGGGAAGCTGTGAGGGAATCCACTTGCAGGAGACATGACTCACTTCAGGTCTTTTTTCATGACCTGAATTCCACGCCACTGTTTCAACATGTTTCATCCAGTCTTTTTGTCCAATCATTTTCTGGTTCCCAGAAAATGGGCGCTAGCGTCTGGATTGTCAGGCTACAAGAGGGAAGTACCTGGAGTTTGGGGGAAATACCATCAGTTCCCTCCCACAAACCTGCGAGGTACCTGGACGATCAATTCCCTCTGACGGTTCTGTCGGGCGCCGGCTTGGTGACAGGGAAGGTAGCACATTTGGGAGTCTTTTTGTCGAGCTTATCGATTTTGGTAGGTTTTCTGAAACCACGTTGGTTGGTTGGTCGGTCGGTCGGTCGGTCGGTTGGTTGGTTGGTTGGTTGTTTCTTTGATTCTTTGATTGTTTGTTTGTTTGTTTGTTTGTTTGTTTGTTGTCTTGTTGTTTTCGTTTTTTGTTGGAGGGGTGCCCCAAAACAGACGCATCCGTTGGTATGGCTAGCTTGAGGGTCTCGGTGGTCACCGCTTCGAGGACCGCCGCTTCATGGAGGCCCTGAGAAGTCGCTTGAATGCCATTGGGTTCCATTGGGCGGGATCTTTAACTGGTTTATTGTTTTTTGTTTGTTTTGGGGTTGTTTTGGTGTCTTGTTCTTCTTTTTTGTTTTGTTGCTTTTGTGTGGTTGTTGTTTGTGTGCTTGTTTATTTCTATTTAATATTTATCTTGTCGTCGTCGTCGTCGTCGTCGTCGTCGTCGTCGTCGTCGTCGTCGTCGTCGTCGTCGTCGTCGTCGTCGTCGTCGTCGTCGTTTTGTTGGTGATGGTGGGGGGGGGATGTGATTATTTTCCCACCGACCGTTCTTTTTCTCTTCTTTTTTTTTGGGGGGGGGGGGATGATGATTTCCCCACCAACCTGCAAACATGACAGTTTTTTGGACAGGTTGTTTTTCGCCTCTCTTGCAGGCGGAGGCCGGCCTGAAAGGACCTTTTTTGTTTCCTCTGTTTCATCTTGCGCGGCCCCAGAAGCTGATCACCTTTTTCTGGGGAACCTGGGCTGGCGGGGCTTCGGTTCCTTTCCTGTTCCAGGACCTCCACCTGAGACATGGGAACTCTGGATTCAGCAGAACCCGGGCTTCTGGTTGAAATTTTGATTCCAGACCACTTTTCTGCCTAAGTAATTCATTAGGACGTCTTCTACTTAGACCCAAATGTGATTTGCACGTCCTGTCTTCAACCGGGTCTGGCTTCCAAGGGGAGATTCGTGAGACGGCGTCGTATGTTTTCAACAAAACCCCTTGAGCAAGGAGGCATGGCATAAGCATACCCAGGGTCGGCAAGAAGTCCGGTTTACTCAACAGGCACAACATCGGCCGAGATTAAACCGGATCTTTGTCTTTTAATCACCCGGTTTTTCCTTTTTTTCCCTCTCGCGGACTTCCCAAGGGGAGGCTTGCTTTAGACGAAGCATCAAAAGGTGAGATGTTGAAACCTGGCAAAAGGGAACTATAGCACTGTCCAGTGCCAGTTGCCCCTGACCTATATTCACACAGCCGTAGAGGTTTAGATATTTGGAGTTTAGACGGACTTACGACATGTCCCACTCAATGACAAAACTGTTCAAAAAGGATCCAGGGACGGTTAAACCCTGCATGGACACCTGCAGGCTCCTTCCACCAAGCCAATAGCACTTAAACTGTGCAGCAACTGATGTTGCTTTGCGTGGTTGGGCTGGTTGAGTTGGTTGCCTTGTTGCTTGGTTGCTTGCTTGCCTTGTTGCTTGCCTTGTTGCTTGCCTTTTTGCGTGCCTTGTTGCTTGCCTTGTTGCTTGCCTTGTTGCTTGCCTTGTTGCTTGCCTTGTTGCTTGCCTTGTTGCTTGCCTTGTTGCTTGCCTTGTTGCTTGCCTTGTTGCTTGCCTTGTTGCTTGCCTTGTTGCTTGCCTTGTTGCTTGCCTTGTTGCGTGCCTTGTTGCTTGCCTTGTTGCTTGCCTTGTTGCTTGCCTTGTTGCTTGCCTTGTTGCTTGCTTAGTTGGTTGGTTTAGTTGGTTGGTTGGTTGGTTGGTTGGTCGCTTGCCGAAACGAGGCGAGGGCCTCGCGCCGCATTTGGTGCGGCCCACACGTGCGCTGGCGGCCTATGGCTGGTGGCAACACAGTGCCGGAGCCAAGGCCGCGGCCCTGCGGACGTCGCCCAAATGGCCAAGATGTTTGGTGTACCCCCCTTGTTTTGGTTGGTTTAAAGGAACCCCCCCCAAAAACAAAAACATCCACAATTTTTGTGGGATCTCTGGTGAACTTATTGGTTGGGTGTGTCTTTTTTGAGATATATATCCTTGCTGGATGGTTTGGAAGAGGAACGCATTTTTGAGGTTCCCCTATTTTGAGACAGCCCTGTTTACAGTTAGAAGCTGAGTTAGACCCCCAGCCCTGACAAGATCGTAGTCATAGTGAGTGGAATGCCGGCGTGGATGGACGTGGTTGTTTCTCATCCGAACCTTGCCAAGTGCGGCTTCCCAACAATTTCGGGCACCCCTCACAATTTGGCAGGGTAGAACTTTAATTTCTGATGAGGCATCTTCCCTTCAAAACCCAAAGAACAACAATGCAATCACTCCCCCATGTGGCGGGGCGATTCCAGATCTCACCAATTATGAAAGGAGTTTCCCTAAGACCTGCCCAAATTAACATGGACACCGCCAAAAGCGAGTCCTTTCCCAATTCCTCTGAAAATGACAGTTACGTTTGGGCGTGTCAATCAGGGTATCTTGCTGGGAGCTTGATATGTTTGCCGTTCAATACGAGGACGTCACTTTCCGGAAGACTTGCGGAACTCATTGCGTGTGAATCAAGGTCTCAGTCTCAGAGGGGACTATTGGGACCACTTCAATGGTAACTTTGATGGCAACCATGGGTCATGTTGGCTGTTTCAAGCTTCCATTTGCTCAAGAATATTTTGTTTACTTTCCCTTGTTGGGTTTAAAACGAATTTATCACTACTGAATATATTTTATCATTATTTCCAGGGTCTTAACCAAATGGAAGCCAGGGTAGGGGTTTCAGTTGTGTTTGTCTTTAGGGTTCTGTTCGCCTTAGTGCCTGCCGGCTGCGCCCCTGCTTGGATGTTAAATCACCAGTCAGGAATGGGTCCTGCCATTCCCTTGTTTGGACCTTCAAAATTCCAGTTTCAGAACCAGAGAACTCCAATTTTAGGGGAAATCGAGTGACCCCTGAGGGATACCATCGTGGGATTGTCCGATTGTCACAGTAAGTTTTTTTGGCGATTCCTTCCCATATCCTCAAATCAGACTTTTTACGGCTTACTTTTCACGACATATCCCACTCCCGCAAAACGGTTTTACTTGCAGCAAGGCATCAACACAAAGGAAGACACCCTTTTTCGGGCTCTCTTTGACAGCTGTGTTCGATCCAACCCATAGGCTCCCAGGTGTGGAAAGAGAGCGACTCTTAACACCAAGGTAGCAAGCACTGAACTGACATCCCGTGCCAGAGGATCAGCTTGTCGCGTTTTTTTAGAGGTTCCTTCCGCTTCTGTATTGGCCCGAGAGGTATTGTGCATCTGTGCGCTGTACAGATGCCCGTTTGTCTAGCGTGAGCCTCGTCAACTTGAAATAGCTGCGTTCTTTTAGTTCTTCCGGTTTCAATACATGTCCGGTGGTAAACAACACCGTTTTGTGTGTCACCCACATGGAAAAATAGCGCGCCCTCATGGTTTTCTGTGGATCACACGAAAGGTACCGGGCTTTGATACTGGCTTTGATTACAACTCCCATGAAGGTTTCAACACCAAACCATGTCTTCCATTTGCTGAAATGAATATGTTGTTTCTTTCCCCTTATTGGATTTAAAAGGGAATTTATCACTACTGGAAATCTGTTTTATGTTTTTTCGATTTGCCCAGGGATCTTAACCAAATGGAAGGTACAACTCCCAGCAAGGCTTCAACACCAAACCATGTCCTTGGAAGCCGTTTTGGGGTTGGAGACTTGAGCCCCGCCGGGCCAGGATGCGCCCACCAACATCAACATGTACTCCGAGCTGCTTGCCGCAGGCGGAAAAAATGGGCCCTGGGACTGTTCCTTTTGCGGCCCGGGCTCTAGGGTCTACATTTGGACAGGGGGTCAAAGTCAGAAACTGGATGGTGGTGTTAAGTTTTCTTTGTTGCAATTTGCTTGGATGTTAGGACTTTAACTTTTTGCCAACTAATGGGTTTTCCATTAAACCGCTAAAAGTTAAACTTTTAGCAGGGGAGCAGAAAGCGACCGAGTTTTCCTTTCACGTAGCGCTTAGAGGCTGACTTTGATGATAAAACACCAGTTCGGGTCATCGGACTGCCCTGTGATGCACGCCCGACATTGGAACCCTCGTCTGCCCAACCGGACGCAGGGAAGGATTGGGGCCATGGATGGACACAACGGGCCGTTGGCCTTTTTGGTCGTCCAAAGGGGTGTGCCTTTTTTTGGGGGGAAATGTCTGTTTTTGGTACTCCTTCTTTGTGGTTGCAAAGGGAAACAAAGGAACACGTTTTACCCCATTTTGGTTGTCAACCTACAAACCGACAGACCCATGTTGAGACATACGCAAATGGACCCCCAGCCCAAAACTCTCTCAAGACCCTCTTCGATGCGATTGAAGCCTACTTTCTTCGTTTTCCTCGCCAACCTCTAACATTGGCAACCCCAAGAAGCCGAAGAAGCGTTCCAATTCCTTCGTTGCAGAACGGGTTAGCCTAGGTTCCCAACAACTTACCTAAGACCCCCTTCTATGGTTGTTCTCAGATTTGCTCTTGGCGAGGGGCCTTTGCGGCCATGCACCGTCTCAGGCTTCTGATGCTCGCCTGTCGCGGCCGAGGGCTTGAAAAGCCACCGGAGGACAGGGAACATGGGACGGCATGTTCAAGCCGAATGGGTGGGCCCTAACTAATCAATCTTATTAAACCCATGCTTGTTTGAGGCTTGGTACTCTTCCTTCTGCTGGTTTGCGGAGAGAGGCCCCGTATGCATTTGGACATTCATACTGGCAAAGTACCTTGATACATGTCCATACGATGCGGGGATTGCGAGTCCCGACCGTCTTCAGAAACAAGCTTGTCCCGACTAAGTGCACGCACCTGCGCTTAGTTGGCAGACACTGCTGCAATTTGTTTGCTGAAAAGCTGAATTGGTTTCAACGTGGGTTGGCAGACAACCATTGCTGTCACCTACCTGTTCTTCAGTCTAGCTAACGCCTTGGATGTGGTTCTTGCGGAATCCATATTATGCTCTTCCCCCCATTGGTCCTTTGTTTTGTGCACTTTTACATCGGAGTGGACAAGGCTAGTATTCCTATGCTTGCGGGAGGGAGGGTCACCTGGGAGTGAAGCCCTGACGGGCTAGCAGGGCTAACCTCAAAACAACCGCCAACCAGGGGAAGAACATTGGTAGTGGATGCTGGCACGCGCGAGACACATTGAAAGAATGACAGAAAAGAACGACGTCCTTTTTTTTTCCTGTTGTCGTTTTCCTTTCTTTTCTCGTCGGGCCCCTTGGACGCTTGCCGCGGGTTGCTTGGCGTGCGTGTGGGTTTCCTTTTTCTGTGTTTTTCCTTGTTTTGTCTTTTCCTTTCTTACTGAACTCATGAAGAGATGAAATGAAGCAGCCAGCTGGCGCATTGATACTCCCTCTCATTGTGCCATCAGTGGACCATCGGCCGCCAACCGATGGTCGCGCGTGCTCCAAACCTCCGCGTGGTGCGCCCTGGAAACTCACCCCACATGCGAGGTAATCATCGGATCCGGGTCACAAGGGGAGGACATGCAGACAATTAGCAACAGAGATGAGGATGGAATCGAACCAAGGAACATCGAACGCGGAAAAGACACAAACATCAGGAAAAGACTGACACAATCAGGAAATACATAGGGTGAGGCAAACGTCCCTCCTCTTAATAGAGGTGGTCGGTGTAGACCGACCGACGAGGAGCAACGGGGTAGATGCCGGTTGAACCTGAACTTGGGAAGACGGCCTCTTTGTGACCCGACGGCCGTACCACTTCCTCTCCGTGCTTCAGCCCTACTCCGGGTAGAGGCGGGTGGGCTCCGACTCTCCGAACTAATTGAGGAGAATGCCGATGGCAGGAATTGAGCAGACATTGCCGAATCAACTCACGTGATAAACAACAATGAACTCCGCCCCATAGAACGCCATCATGCGCACATCGGCTGCTGTGTAGAAGCTCAAGCACAAATGGCAGGCCGAGCCGGTAGAAAACGCCGCCGAAAAGCGGCCACATACTGGGCCACCCTCGCAGCACAACTACTGACGGGTAGCACAAATGGGCAAAGCAGAAACGCGGTACTCCCAAATTACGCAAACATAGACGAGTGCAATGGGGAAAGTTCTTAAAAAGCGGCAAAAACAGACAAAACGAACTCACCATGACATACGCATAGGCACATGGAACACTCGCCGACTGGGCGCTGTGCACGGGCGGGTTGACGTCGCGACCAAGCTTCGGCACATGGCAGAGGTCTGGCAGTTGCGAAAATGGGACGCAGCGCTACTATATACAAGATGTAACGTTGGGTGAAAGGGGACGAATGACGTTTAGCACAAAGAAGGAAACATGGACGATCATACACAGGGGAAAAGTGGCAATAGCACTGGGAACAGAGCTCACAATGGCATGGGAACGCGGAGGCTGCGTAGTTCATACGGACGGAATGGAAGGGACGTGTCGAGTAATCAGTGTACAGATCCCGTGCAACAACAAACGGGGGGTATCACTGGGAACGCAGGCCAGGAGGGTTCCACACTCTCATTGGTGGAGATTTCAACGGGGAGGTAGGAAGCCGCACAAATGGAGAGGAACAGGCGCTGGGACCACACGGACACGGCAGATGCAATGAAAAAGGACGCATGTTGTTGGACAGCTGTCAGGCAGAAACCCTGGTAGTGACAAACACATGGACAAGCCAGAAGAACAAGACTACGTGGGTGCACCCGTGATGGAAAAGCGGACACCTGATCGATTACATTCTGGTGGAAAGACCGCGACTCAACAACGTGAAGAGGGTGCTCACGCTGCACGAAGAGGTAGCCTGGACCGGCGGGTTGACCGGATGGGGGGAATATACTGACCACAACCCCGTCGAGATCAGCTTCAAAATCGCGCCGCCGCAGGGGATGACTGCCCCTGCGCAACGCGCAAAGCGCTGGGCATGGGTAGCCGGGAGAGGTGATGAACCAGCCGCAAAAAGACTACGCGCGCAGTACGCAGAAGAAATCAAAACGCAGCTCACAGACAGGACCAGCCCCATACACTGGGACGACGTCATAAACGTCACCACAAAGGCCGCCCGAAAAGTGTTTGGCCCAGTCGAGCCCAAACCCCCCCGACCATGGCTAGCCGGTAAGGAGGCGGAACTACGCCGGCTCAGTTTCGCGGTGGCCACGGCCAAAACGGCCAGAGACAAAGCTGAGGAGTGGGCCTACAGACAGGAGGAAGATGAGGAAGCCGCGGGCTTTTGCGCGCAGGCCTGGAGACTGGTCCAGGCGGCCACGCGACGCAAACGACGCCAACTAAGAGAGTGGGAAGACACATGGTGGAATCAGTTGAGCAATCAGGCAGAGACTGCAGCGGCTAGAAACGACAGCCGGGCACTTTACGACCTGATTAGACAATTGCGGGGGAGGGCGGTGACTCGGCGTACAGCAGCCGGACAACCCGGTTATGGAAGCCCAAGCGTGCAAGGAGCACTTTCGCCACATACAGGACGGCACACAACCGGTACACGACCGTATCTGGGCCAACGTCGTCGAGCGAGCGGACCGAGCCACATGGATGGACGAAAAGCCGAGCCAAGCGGAAATCCAAAAAGCCATCAAAGCAATGAAGCTCGGCAAGGCTCCGGGCATTGATGGCGTTACGGTGGAGGCACTACGATGGGCGCCGGATGAAATGCACCATCAGCTGTGTACTATCATACAAACAATGTGGATGGACGCGACCAGCACGCAACTCGGACAAGAGGCTCACGATTGGCCAGAGGCATGGAAGACGGCCATTATCGTGCCACTATGGAAGCAGAAGCAACCTCGATCAGACAAGAACAACTGGAGGGGAGTTACGCTCCTCAGCGTGGGGGCAAAAGTGGTGGCGCGCATCGTCGCCAACCGGTTTCAGACACACACGGAAGAGTTCATGGACGAGCGTCAACAAGGATTTCGGCGCAATCGCGGCGTTGATGACGTTCTGCAAGTTTCCATGCAGACGCATCACTGAGGAGGTGGTGTCATCTGGTCCGACTACACGTCGTTTCGCGTGCAGAGTGGCGCTGTCCTATCAGATGGGTATACTGCGGGACGGGGATTAAAGGAGGGCTGCCCGAGCAGCCCTCCTCTTTTCAACGTGTATCACGCGGCAGTGATGGCGGATTACAGGACCCGTCGCAGCAGAGCCGCCGAGGAAACAGGCGCGCAACCTGGGATACAGTGGAAGACCAAGATCACAGGGCAATTTACCAAGCGACAGGCTTGTCTGAACAGCAACCATCAGATCCGACAGGATATCTTGGGCGATATCCAGTTTGCAGATGACACGGCGACGTTCGCCCAAGAAAGCGAGGCGATCACAGCGGACAGCATACTGGAAACGACCTTCACGGACTGGGGCGAAAGGCTGAACCGCAACAAAACGGAAACCTTGCGCATCGTCCCAGCCGCACGCCCAGAAAAACGAGGACGCGATGCGGACTTGCCCGACACAGTCCGGCACGTAGGAGGCTACCTGTCAGCCACTGCTACGCAATGCAAGGACACCATTCATAGGGGTAGTATGGCCATGCAAAGGGCCAGAGCAGTCGCCAAGGCGTGGAGCCTCGGAAGCTCCAAGGGCAGGGGCGCTACCAGCGGGATACGGTTCGCAACTAGACTCAAGGTGATGCACAACATCATCGTGCCGACCCTCACTGCTTTTAGCAGGTCTCGGGCCTGGACCCGGGCCCAAATTGAGCACTTGCAAACCCGACAAAATTACGCGATCCAAAGGGCGTTGGGACTGGACCGTGTGGCCATGCATGAGTATCATGTGCGGAATCAGGACTTACACGCCATGGCGCAATGGGAACCCATCGAGAAGGTGTTGGCCAGACAAACCTTGCGATGGATGGGTTATGTAGCACGAATGCCAACGCACAGACTACCTAAGATCGCAATGTGGGGGCACTGGCAAGACGCAGAGCCGGGTCAGTTCGGACCCACGCGACAGCAGAAGTGGTTACAGACGGTGCTGAAACTGGCTGACATACCGGAGCTCGACTGGTTCCGACTAGCACAGGATTGACCGACGTGGGACGCGCTCATCAAGCGCGGACTTCCGCGGCCAGTTATAAAGCCACACCAAAAGAGAGCCGTCAACTCTTGGCGACCTGGACGACCGCCCCCCATACCGGCGCCGCCGAGACTCAGGTTGCGCAGAGCGGTGTGGACAAAGCGATCCAGTCAGCTGGCGCGAGGGGAATGCCCAGTGTGTAATCACCAAGCGGTCGACGTCCGTCACCTTCGGAGCCATTATGACAGTCAACACGCAGTGTTCGACCCCACAAAGACCACCATGCAAGAACACGTCTGCAAAGAGTGCAAGGGCCGCTTCCCGAACGCCTACGCAAAGACACGGCATCAGTGCAGGGGACCCGCAATGGTACAAGAACAGCTGCAGCACGTCGCGCCAGACATCCCTGAACCGCCGCCTACTTGGCACGTGTTCACGGACGGCTCCGGAGGAGCAGCAGACAGCGAAGGCGCCGGATGGGGAGTAGCCGTGTACGCATTGCCCGACGGAGTGCGCGCGATTGCTGAACTGCATGGACCAGTACTGACTGACGCTACGGACCAGCGCTATCTGGGGGCGGACAAGGCGACCAATAACACGGCTGAACTCACGGCTATAGCCGAGGCGCTCGTCTGGATCGACACGGAGGCGCCGGGACCGGGAGATACGGCCTTGCACATCTACTACGACTCCCAAGCCAATCAAGCGCTAGCCAAATCCGTCCAGCAACTGGTCAAGAAGGTGTCAAACACGAGGGACGTCCGGTGGACTTGGGTAAAGGGACATGCAGCGCACCCAGGCAACGAAAATGCAGACCGACTTGCAGGTCAGGGGGCGCGGGGCCAGGTGGGATGCCAGAGTAAAAGGGACCGAGCCGCACAGCGGCGAACTGACCAAGGAAACAGCGGAGGTCTGCCGACAGTGTGGCAAAGTGTTCCGCCACGCAGATGTGTGTGCGGGACATGAACGAGAGTGCAGTCAGGTGCCTTTGAAAGAGCTGCCGCCACACAAGTGTCGCAAATGCAACACCGAGGTGGGCACACGAGTCAACCGTCTATACCACGAGGCTCGCTGTAGAGGCGATGCGGAGCTGAACCTACGATGCACGTTCTGCAATGCGCTCTGCCCGACCATGACCAAACGGACGCGCCACGAAGGCGCGTGCCTCCAACGCGCCCCTACACGAGACGGCGCTGGCCTATACTGGCAGTGCGGGTGTGGGTGGCAGCAAGTGCAACAGGGGCAAACCAAGAAGCGACTCGACCAGGCGGTCGAGCGGCACAAACGCGGATGCCGAGGAAGTGAAGAACAGAATCTCACATGCCGGAAATGCAACAAAAAGTGGCCGTCTATCACACTATGCAGAGGACCTGGCGATGCGCAGCGAACGTGCTTGTGCTGCAACATCGTGTTTGCAAACGCGCACGATCGAAGCAAACACGAGAGCCGCATGAAGCGACAGAATGCGTAACTCGATCAGAAAAAACAGCAGGGAAAGGCAGTCGAAGGCTGATCCTTCTTTCTGCAATTACTGCCCAATGGGAAAGGTGATCGTTCAACAGGTCTTCCACGATCACGACCAACACTTGGTTTGCTGGGTCTTGTGTTATCACAGGCGTAGGGCGGCGTCCTCACGGCGGCTCTCCGCTCCGCCCAGGTGTAAGTTAATAGGGCGGCAACAACGGGAACTCTTGACAGCGTCCTCTGGCGCACAGCGGCTCTCCGCGAAACAAGAGACTCAACAACAACAACAACAACAACAACAACAACAACAACAACAACAACAACAACAACAACAACAACAACAACAACAACAACAACAACAACAACAACAACAACAACAACAACAACAACAACAACAACAACAACAACAACAACAACAACAACAACAACAACAACAACAACAACAACAACAACAACAACAACAACAACAACAACAACAACAACAACAACAACAACAACAACAACCACAACCACAACCACAACCACAACCACACCACAACCACAACCACAACCACAACCACAACCACAACCACAACCACAACCACAAACAACCAACCACAACCACAACCACAACCACAACCACAACCACAACAACCACAACCACAACCACAACCAACAACAACAACAACAACAACAACAACAACAACAACAACAACAACAACAACAACAACAACAACAACAACAACAACAACAACAACTACTACTACTACTACTACTACTACTACTACTACTACTACTACTACTACTACTACTACTACTACTACTACAACGACACACCATACACTGACAGCGTCCTTTGGCGCAAGGCGGTGTGTTGTTTCCGACCGACCTAGTGCCCTCTGGCACAAAGTAACCAAGTGAAAGGAAAAAACACTTGGGCTAAGAACAGCGTCCTCTGGCGTACCAGGCCGCGGTTGATGCTTCAGATTTGAATTACTGCCCCGGACCACTCCCCTACCCATTCCCCTAAATGCCCATTTTCGGAGGACTGTGATCTCACTCGCGGACGACCAATCCCGCAACTTTTGGTTCTAGCTGCAAACCCACCAGAGTAAGAGCGCTGCCCAGACTTACGTCGCAGAAAATATGGCTGAAGAGGCGCAGATGTTGCGCAGGGACACGGATTTCCTGCTCCAACCCTACCGCCTCATTGTCCTGAACCTCCCGAAACTCAGTACTCGCTACAGCGAGCTTCAGGCTAGCCGCCAGCTCCATGATCTACCGACAGAGGTACCGGATATCCTACTCCGGGCCCTCGTCGCTCAGTTCGGAGCTACCCTGACCCGCCCGGCACCGGGACACATGCCACCACAGTGCGCGGCGGGGTGGCGGGCCATCTGACCGCCAGCTTGGGGCAGGAGGCGGCGCAAGAGCTGGCCGGATGGCTGGTATCCGAGCCGGCACCCTTGGTCACACTGGCTCGCCACTTGACCCGCGAGACCATCATCGGGGTATACCCGACGGCCCCCAACGCCTTTGTGGTTCGCCTACGCACTGGCATGGCGGGGCTGGCGGTCTCCCACGTGGTGACGCAGTACTTGCGCACCGCCGAGGGCACACCGGCTGATGCACTCCGCGTCTTCCTAGACCGACGGATCAGGGGAGCCGGAGGCGAAGACAAGGGAAAAGGCAAGGGCAAGCAGAAAGGCAAAGCCAAAGGCAAGGGCAAGGCACCGGAGAAGGGCAAGGGGAAGGGGCGCAAAGGCCATGCCAAGGGAAAGGGGAAGGACGGGAAGGACAAACAGGGCCCCCGCCCCGATCGCGAGCGATCCCGGGGGCGGGAGCGACGAGAACGCCGCGATGGACCTCCTGACGCCATTGAGCCCGATGCCAACATGAACGAAGCTGATGGGGTCAGGGCAGCGCTGGACGCGGCACGGGCGGCGGCCGGGAGGCCGGCGCCCGCCCGTGAAAAGGCAGCCACACATGTTTCACCTTGGGTTTGGCAGGGGAGGCTCGAGCTTCACATGGGCACAAGCAATCCACCACATCCCTCAGCAATAGCCAGCGTTTCCATTTCATCCTTGCTCACCCTCTTGTAATGGTTCCAAGGTGTTACCGCCGCAGCACGAGCCCTGACAAACCATCTTTTATTTTTTTTGGCAGCTCCAAGCACACTCTGACCCGCCGCCATCCCCTAGATATTTAGACCGCTCATTAGTTCTTTCGCGCTTGACACCCTGCCTACCCACAGTTTTGGTTTCACCGAGATGTACTGTGCCAGCTCTAGCTCTGCCTGCATGCGCGCTGATGGCGTTAGCCAGGCGTCTTAATGGTGCTGAAGGCTCAACGAACGAACGAACATTGGTAGTGCTCCTTTTGCACTTTCATGATGTTGCCCAATGTTTAGGGGTAGTCAGAAGCAGGGGGGTTCCGGTTCCCTTCAACTTGCGACCCTTGTGGTAAAACAACGGTTCTGCCCTGACGATCTGGTCTTCGGAGCTGCCAGCTGCCAAAGCCATTGCCTTAATCCACAAGTGACACAGATTGGTTCCCCCCCTCTCCTTACCACATGACGACCCTTGTTGCCCCCCTCCCCCTCTCCCCCTTTCCCCATGTCGACCAAAAACCCTTTCCTTTGTGCCATGGATCCGGCAGGCCCCCGGCCCCTCTCCCCCCTACCCCATGACTACCAAAAGCATTCCACAGGCCTTCGAGCCCCTGTTGCCGCACGTCAAGCGCGCCACCGAGGCTCGCGCGAACTCGAGAAAAATAAAGAAAAAAACCACAAAAACGTCACGGCGCTCAAAGCCGAGTTCTTTCGGCCACTTTGGGACTACACGGGGGCCATAAGTGGATCCAATTTGGAGGTCCCGAAGGCAAACCTGCTATCTCCAGGTCCTGTGCGCAACTGAGTTTAGGAAAGGGCCAAGATATTAGATGGTACCACACGTTGACCGCGAATGCATGAAGCGCGCCCGAGTCTTCCAAGAAATTAGTGACCCTTCCCCTGGCGTTGGGTACAGGATGCATTCATTTCCGCCGGCTGGGATGCCTCAAGCCTGCATCTTCGTGCGCCTTGAAGGCTTGCAGGCTGCACATACACCGCCTGGAAGCCGCAATGGCAAAGTTTTTTATGCATACATTTAAATGTAGACCTGGATGTAGATTGAGAATGTTATATGTATTTTTGTATGTGTGTGTGTTTGCATATGTATGTGACTTAAAAAGCGTTGTTTGGTGCATGCGCCTTCCTCTTCTGTTTTTGTTCGTGACGGCATCAAAAAGAAATGCCTTGCTTGGTTGCGCTCTGCTGAAAGGGCGAACTTTCCTTCGCAAGCTTTCACTGAGGTTCTAGGAAGGGTCAATCAATCATGGTTTTCACTACCCCCCACTACCCGGAGGTAGTGGCTTCGGGGCAGTGGAAACCATCTTGGATTTAATCACTTAGTTCCATTGATTCAGAGCCATAAGGGGGACCATGGGAAGGTTATGCTTCTTGGTCAAATTCTGGCACTTAATTGCCACTAGTCTCACCTGCCCAAAGCAAATCGCCCTGACCTTTTAGTCTCCCCACAGCCCATCTTTCGTCACGGCCCCTCAAAGGTGAACCTTGTTTGGGTCCCTCAGGATATGAGTGGCTGGACTTCCGAACAAGTGCCATGCACACCCTCACGCGCTCACATGCAGGCACGTGTTGTCCAAAATTCTAGGCTGCCATGCATACTGGGCAAGGTTTTTCCTTGAAAAACCATTGTTTGTTGGTATTTTCAAGGAATCATCTATCAGGGATTCTGAACAGTGGTGCGAACAGAATTGTCCAGTAGGTTCATATGTCAGCCCGTGTGAACCGTGGTAAATGGCATTCCTCCTTGGCTGAGTTCTCGATTTTGGGAAGCCAACGCCTTCTTTTGGCCAAGACGGCATGGTCCGGATGTCTCATACGGGGATAGCTCTGACACTTTACTTGACTGCTGTTGGGTAGCGGATCTTTAGACTTGAACTGTTTGGTTGAAATCAAGGTTTTTGTTCTTCTCGTATTGAAGCCACACAAAGTTAAACTTTTTGCACAGGGGTCGTTGCAGCAACCAAGTTGGGCTCTGTCTTTTTCGGAGTTGGTGCCTCTTTTGTTGTGTAAATGCTGAAGGCAAGCCAAAAGGAACACCCATACCGACTGGGATCTCTGGAACTAATTCTTTGGCCGAGTTTTTGTGTTGAGAGTACCGTGGTTGGATGGTTTCACCGGGCAACCGAAAGGAAAACCGTTCCATTTTGAGAGGTCCTCCATGTTCGGGGCTCCGATTCAGATGGACTCAGATGGTGAGGCCTATGCTTCCAAGCGCGAGCTACGGCTCAAGAGGATGCTGGACACGGAGGGCACCGTGCACTTGTCAGCTGGCCCAAAAAAAATGTTTTGTGCTGTCCCTCGGTTCCGGAGATGTCTCCTTTAAGCATCACCCGGGAAAGTCACTCTCACCTGTCCAAAGCGAATCGACCGTTTGACCTTTCGGGGGTTTCCTAGTTTGGCCCATGTTTGGTCAACATTCCAAAAGGCTGTCCCTAAGAGACAACTGAGTTGCGGTCGCCACCCCTCTCCCACTTCGGTTTCAGGGAGACAATTTAGACACTGAGGCGGGAGCCAACCATGATACACAAAAGGGGTCAAAAGATGGCACATATGTCCCACGCTTGGATTCTGGAAACATCATTTCACTAGAGTTTGGTGAGTTTCCTTTTGGCCAGATCTTAACAAGGGCAATATGAAAAACCCTGTTCAGCGTGGGGTGGCGGAGTACCTGGAAATTCTCTCAGCAGGACTGGCACATGTGTTCTTTGTTCGCGCCTTCGGACGGAAGTTGCCCCTTTTACCAGATATGTTCACATCATGCGCCCCCCCCAACCCCACCCTCCTACCGCCCTTCTTTTGTAAGGTTTGGCAAATGAGCCACTTGCACAGATGAAAAAATGACCGGACAACTCAACTTTGAGAAAAGGAACCTTCGGATTGCTTCCAAATGCCTACACCCCTTCCAATGTGGAACGCACCAGAAAGTCCCTTGAAAGGAACAACCATGTCGCCGAATGTCCAATGTTACTTGAGTGGCTTTCAAGTCGTGAGCCCTTCATAGGGCATGCTCCAAGCGCGCGGCTGCGAAATGCGTGAAGGCACCAGATCCAATCCAAGGAGACAACTTGAGTTGGCCCATGACGTCTCATGGCGGCCCCCCCAAATGCCAAGGCTCACTATGTTGGATCGTTTCATTTGGGTGCTGGATTGTCTATAATGTGTTAATTTCCTCAAAGGGACACCCAAGCTTTCAAAGGGCATAGGCATGTGTTTTGCTTTTTCCAGACCCCCGAGTGAGCACGTAGTTTGTTGCGAGAAATGCTCACATTTCCCTGCGCTGCTTGAAATTTCCGTCTTTCCAATTTTTGGCTTTCAGGGAAATGTGCCGGGAATATCCCGTCCCACCCTTAGGGGTGTGCCACCGAGTTCTCCATCCCTGGCTTTTCTTTCACATATCCAGGTCGTTCATGTTGCAATGACTTTGATAGGGAATCACCAACATGATTGGTGCACATGAATCACCACACACGTAGATGATGCCCTATCCCTACTTATTATATATATATATATATATATATTAAAAAAACAACACACGCGCCCATTGTCTTGTCTTGCTGGTGCTCAGTAGGGATGACCCAAGGTTTTGGGAATGAACCCAGGTCCCTTAAAGGAAACCAAGGGGGATGGTTCACAGGACATTCCCTCATTCCCTGCCAAAACCAGCCTGTGCTGAAAACATCATGTCCGTTTCCTGTGGCAGTGGAGTGTCTCAGTTCTTGCCTAACTTTCATGCCGAGAAAACGTGAGCGTGACAAAGACCCCCCCCTCCTCCCGCTCTCTCCCCCTCAAGGCATAATTGCAGCCAAACTCAACCGACAACTCACCATGTCGCATTGCCAGGCGTTGACTTTTGCCTATTTGGGGTTTCCTCCATTCTCCCTTTCGAGCAAAAGTTCACTTTTAGCATAAGGTCTACTTCCCTACAAATTAACACGGAATCCCAGAAAGGGGTCAGATTTTCCCAACAGGAGATGCGTCTAAAGATGGGTGGAGTCTAAAGATCACTTTTGGCATAGGTCTACTCAAATCAACCTTGAACCCCAAAAAGGCGGGCTTTTGGGGTTCCATGTTGCACCGTAGGGGTCTAACTCCTGCTTGAAATGGCCCCCCGTCCCTCCAACTGGTGGGCTACCCCGCCCCTTCCGAGGTGCGCCAGCCGCTTGGCTTTCGTGATCTTTGGCAGACTCTGCCAGCGAAGCGATGGGCTTTCCGGGTTTGGGTTTTCCAGAATATCCGAGCCATTCTCAGACAACCTCCAGTGGCGATCGTTTCGGAAACCGCCAAGACATGGATTGGGCTTTTGGTTCTCCAGGCTTCAAGGGAACCCCAAAGTGGCGATGGCTTCAATGGAAACCGCCAGAAATATGGATGCACTTTCTATTTGGGGGAATGCAGTGACCCCTGGTTCCAAAAGGTCAACCATGGTTTAATCTTTCAAGTCCAGGTCCTTTGGGCGAGTAGAGAAAAGGCGAGTCTCTCACTGTGCTTTTGTCAAAATGCAGGGCCTCCAGTGGTGTCCAGGTATTTGGTGCAACCAGCACTTTGGGACCCAAAACCGGTCCGTGTTTTCCAGTTTTGGCGAATGAATCCCGCAAAATCGCTTCTCGGGGCGCTTCTCGGGGCGCTTTTCGATCCCCGCTTTTCGGTCCCCGTACGGATGCCTCCTCAAACTGGGCCGAAGGTGGCACCAGAAACAGGGCTCCTTAAACGATACATGTTGCAACCATGGCTTCTTCAACACCAAAATAAAGGGACACCACCATTTACAAGGATGCTCAGGTGTATCATGTAAGGATCCCTGAGAAAGCCTCCAAGTTGGAGCTGCGCAAATCGACCTCGACAAAACGTATGAGATATAAGGGTCGGCCCTGAAATGGTGGCAACGCTTAAGGAGTTTGTACCTGGTGGGGGCTGGAAAGTGGGTGCGGTCTGATGCCGTTGTTCTAGTAGAATCGGTCAAGCTGGGGGTGGTATCCGCTTTGTCCGGGCTGGACCGCTGTGCCACCTGCTGTGTTGACATTTCGACATGATTAGCAAGCTTCGGGCCGGGACAGGCGATACCTAACAGGACTTGTCCAAGGCTAGCGATTAAGGCAATATTGGCTCTGGCACGCAGTGCCAGTCTTCCCAGCAGGCTGACCTTTCTCAAGTTGTCGTTGATCAGCGGGCTGTATTTTATGCGAGGATATGGGGCGGGGCGCCTGATGACTTTCAGGCAGTGTGTGTGTGTGTGTGTTTGTCTGTTTGTGTCTGTGTGTCTGTGGGAACTAGGAAATCCATCCAAATGGTGTCTGCGTGCGTCATGCTTGTCCCACGCACTCACATGTTTGGCAAAAACCGAAGGGGGCGGACCAGTTGCAAGATCCGAGCGCGGTTGATGGAAGTGAAACTCTGACATGGCTGGTCTTCGGAGTGACCTTAGCCCCTGAACATCCTTTAAGAAACAAACCTAGGTGCTCCTCCAGCTAGGTGCCCTTTTCTCCCCCTTTTTTGGTTGGGAGGGTTTCCCTACTAAATTAGACGTTCTGAAAAAAGTTGGTACCGACCTATTCGAACCTCTCTACTGGAGGTCTTACACAACCGTGTTATTTTGAACCATTCGGGGTCATTCCCAAGGGTGTCACCCCAGGGTGTGATACAAAAACCCTCACAAAACCTCGGACATGGGACATCTTGCTCAGCGGGTCCTCGAGCATCCCATCAAAGTCGTCCATACGTCGATGGTGCGGCTCGAAATCGAAAATACAGGGACCCCAAAACTGCTGGGTGTGCCTTTGGTCTCCCTTGCCACCCACTCCAAAACGGATACCACAAAAAGAAAGAAGGAGCCGTCTTGCTGTTGGTGTTTATGTCCTTCTGACCCTAGGTGGGGCCTTCACTCTCCCCGAATTTGGCATTCGTTTTGAGGCAGTGACTTTGTTTGAAGCCTCAGGTCCAAATATCTCCCAACAATGAGACTAGGAGCTTTTTGGACGGCGATTCTTTTCAAGAGGTAGCTGTTGAGGAAGGGGATGACAAGTTACCCACAAAGGGGTGCTAGCATTTCCAGGCGAACCAACCCTTAGGCCCTAAGGGTACCAAGCCTCAAAGACGAACCACCCAGATGGGGCATGTCCAGAGGTTTGGGAGTTGCCCCGAAGGGCGACTGTTTCCAGCAGGCAACGGGGTAAACCACCATAGGTGTCTTGGTTGCTTGTGGGGGAGAACATGGACGGCGATTCCTTGGTTTCAACCATCTACCGATGTTTTCGAAAGGCCGCAGGGGGAAAACACCGTTTCCATGGCGGTTGTTGGGAAACATTTTACGTTTTTGCTTATTGTGGTTTAGTGGTTGAAATCCAAATCGACTGAACTGCTAACATGTTCAAATGTTTGCTCCCCAAACCCAACGTCCACCAAGTGTCCGAGGTCCGAATTACTCAAAACGACCCGCCATCGGAGCCCTCAGGCTGCGACAGCGCGGTGGCATTGCAGAAGCACTGGAAGGACACGTCCACCCACACCAACCCGACGCTTGGCCGAGCGATCATTTTACCCACCCTTTTTGTGGCTTTGAAGGGAAACCACAAGCAAAAAAGCCGAGCGATCATTTGGGGCGTTCTTTTTTTGTTGAGTTGCTTTGAAGGGAAACCAACAGACAAAAACAAGCAACATCCATTTGGGGGGGTGCTGCGCCATGGTCATACACCCTGGCATGGGTGGTCAACCACTGAAGGAACTCAGACCAATGCAAAGGTTCCCAAGGTGGCGTTAAAAAAAGGGAAGCCAAAGGAAGACCGAAGAGATTTGTGGGGGTCCAAATCCCTATTTTGACACACACCCATGTGCGCCGAGTGTGTTGCGTGGTATGGTCTGGCTCATGGAGCCTTCAACCAACCTAGGCGGCGCTTGTGCCAATTATGTGCGACTTGTGGTCGAGACACAGCGCGAATCTTCGTTGTTCTTGGCATGAATTGCTATTTGCTGAATGGTTTGGTTCACATTCAGTGGGTGGCTGCAAGAAGGCGTGTTTTGCTCCTCACGTGCACTGTCAAGCCAAAGGTGTGCCGCGGCTTGCCCCCACATTTCTGGCACCAGATTGAAAATTGCGGAGCCTCAGCAACCGTTTCCCTGAGAGCTCATTGCACGTTTTCGCCCAGGTATGGCTGCACCTTTGACATCGGCACCTCATTTAAGCCAGTAGGGGGGCTTGCAGGCGCATGGGTGCGTTCTTTCTTCGAGAGCCTTCTTGTTGGTGTTGACAGGAAGCCGAATGGAAGACCGCCTGTCTTATGGGTTTGGATTGGACCAACGCTCCACTTTCTTGCCTTTGCTTAAGAATATGCGTGTTTTCCCCTGTTGGTTTGAAAGGAAATCTATCACTACTGAACATACTGTGGATGACGAAATCCTGCACCACTTTGAAACCATGGGAAAACCATTGTTTGATGGTATTTACAGGGGAATCATCATTCCAGGGTTTCTGAACGGGAGTGCAGGATTTCGCAACCATCCACAGCAGTTGTATTTTTTCCAGGGGCGAAAACGCAAATGGAGGCTGAAAAGGGGGTCCCCTAGTTTGCGATTGCACCCACGCTCAGGGAGTTCGATTTTCTGGGCAATTTGGAACTAGCGGGGGCGGGTTTTGGGGGGGGGATGTTCATGATGGCAGCCCTTTACTTGACGATTCCGTACTGTGGATGGACGAAATCCTACCAAAGGAACCAAGGGAATCATTGGTTGCCGGTATTTGCCGGGGAATCATATCACTCCGGTGTTTCTGAACGGCAGTGCGACCAGATTTCGTCCACTGTATGTCCAATTTCGTGGTTGCACTGCGCCCGTGGATTTGTTTTTGCATTTTGCCTACTGCCCTTGGAGAATGTGAGCGAAGCCTGGCATGCCTGGCAAAACAAATGCAGCGCCCCAGGAATCAAGCGCCAGGGCGTCTGAAAAATATGGTGAAGCACATTTTCTGACTCCCAGAGTTCATGGACCAACAACAAGGTGAGTCATAAATTTTGGCCAGCCCACTCAGGAAGTAGGTTGTTTATACCCTTGAATAAACCCAAACAAAAAGCGCCTTAAGGTTAGAAGGTCAGTGGAAACGCCTTGCGCAGCTGAAGCTTGAAGCTTGAAATGGGCTTGGCCGCGAAGTCTGGTTCCCTTGTGGTTGCGAATTTAGGGTTCGCTACTCCTGGTCCCTAATTTTTACTATGGGGGTGTCTTTTTTTTAAGGGTGCCCCTTTGAGGTGGAGCCAAAGGAAAACCACCCCTAACTGGGTGATCGCCAATTTGGCGCCAAACACCATAACATGCCCCACGAGCCCCTATTTGGGTTTGGGAATCGGGCGTTGGAGGGATTTTGAGGATGCTACTTGGACGCAAGGAAATTTCCGCACGGGACATTCAAGATCCATTCCTTGCCGATTCCCAGCCTTCCATTTAGATTTCTACCTGGTGCGTAAATAGTAATCTCTTAGCAGGGGATCTGAAGACAGACGAGATTTGAGATCGCATCGAGCCTTTCCGCAAGGCTTTCAAAGAGGTTCCTTCAGAACTCTTCCGTGGGCCAAACAAAGCCCAACCGGTCAACCATGGTCAAACCGCTCCAAAGTCGACCCGAAATGACCTTTTGGTTTCCTCTTCTCGCAACCAAAGTTAGTGTTCCCAAAAGGTGATCACCTGCCACCCTTTTGGGCGAAAGGTGATCATCTGGGTTCTTTTTGGGCGACTTTGAAAATGATCAGCTTCGGGTCCACTTGGGTCTTGCTGGCCAAGGCCAGTTCTCACGTGCTGGCGGCGCCGTGGCAGAGGCGGGCTCCACTCGGATCCATGTGGAAATCTGGGGTCAGTTTCCGCGAAAGTCAGGCCCCTTCGAAGCAATGCAGTGGGGATGTTTTTTTTGAATTGCAACTGTTATTTTCCACAGTCCTGCTTGGGTCTTTGACCTTGACGCTTTTCTTGAGAACAATGTGTGTTTCCGAGGCAAAGCGGCTAAACTGTTTTAGAGGCAAGAGCCACATAGCCTTTTAGATGAACATCTCAAGGGGAACCAACAAACAAGCCATTTCAGGGTTGACCTTTGACCTCCCCGTGCCAGGCTCAATGTGAGTTGGCAGGAAGGGTCATGCGCCCCTTGGTTTTTTTTTCATACATGAAGGGGATTTCTAGGAATGGACTCGCGCACATGGTCCACGTAAGTGGCTTTTTCCATGGTGCATGTGGGCATGTCGCTTTTTTGGAGGAAGCCCCTTTGAATCGCTTTTTAATCATGAGACCTCAGACCAACCGGAACCCAAGAACATCCATCGCACTTTCTCCGTGTGTCGCCATCGATGCTGTGCAGTTTTAGGCGCAAACCAACAAACTAGCCCACCGGCTGCGCCATGTTATGAGATCCATTCAGAGGGTGGACGAACCTCACATGTGCCTTTTTGCTTCTCCGAAGTTTGCTTGTCACACCCCATTTGGCCAAATAATTATGGCTGGGAGCTAGCCGAAATGTGGGAAACTTGAGCTAAAGATGCATGAGATATTTGGAGAATCTACTCTCTGATGGCATGGGGAGCACGAGAAGTCCAGGTTTGGACCGGGGCCTTCTGGTGGATTTCAGAAGTTAACTCCTGCATGAGTATGACTTTTGGTGACCACACGTGCACCACTGTGACCGCACGTGTTGCATCAAATTCGCCACATGCCATCCACTAGAAGGTCCAGCTTCGCAGCGCCATGAACGGAAATGACATCCAGAGCCCCAAATCTAACTACCCTCCCTCCCACTAACATGGCAACCAGGGGGTCCCTGCAAAAGGAGATTCATCTTCCAGGTACCTCCCAGGTGCCATTGTTTGGAGGAAGGGTACGCATCCTTCTGCAAACACCCCCCCCACTCAGCCCATGAGCCGGAGGGCCGGGAGTATGACGATGGCACCACTTGGTTTCCAGGACGGCCGGAGAAAGCACGCAGCTAGGGTCAACTTGCCTTCAGCACCCGTTGCGTTTTTTTTTTTTTTTTTGGGGGGGGGGGGGGGTTTTCACTGGAAACGGCGACCTTTGAAATGGGCTTCCGTTTACTACATTCCTGCCGGGCAATGGGAATGGGGACGTGCACAGCTGCCCTTCCAGCAAAGATTGGGTCTTAGGCGAGTCTATGCACCAGGTGTGTTGGGAAGAATCTTTAGCAGAACAACGTGGGGGTCTTTAGAATCCCTGACAGCGATTTCATCTTGGTAAAAGGACCCTCTGGGGCAACCCTTGGCAAACTTGTAGGGTTGTATTTTTCTTCCGTGGGTCGGTTAAAACAGATGTTCTGCCCGTTTTCGCGTGATCATTGAATATGTGGAGGCCGTAAAGCGGTCCCGAGCAACTTGCGTGACCCTCCGAAGCCGACGTGTCGTTCTGTTGGTTCTGTTGAGTTCATATCGGTATTTTTTTGGGGGTCCCTTTTGGGGTGGGGCTTAGTGGGAACCAACAGGAAAGCCACAATTTAAGAGCCCCCCCCTAATTTTGACACACACACACACACGCACACACAAGCGCATTGCGGCCCGAAAACTGACAGGAATTTGTGGCATCCTTCCATTGGCCACGCCCAGGTGCTGATTTGTCACATTTGCCCCCATCATGCTCGCTTCGCTGGCTGGTTGAATCGGGCACCTCTTGAATTTGATTGGTGTGTTTGCTTCTTGTTGGTCCGTGTGAGGGGGCAAGCTCAGGTGGAAGATTAAATGTGAAACCAGCTTTCAATCACAGGCGCATGCCCTGTTTGGGGTGATTTGTGTTTCCCTTTCACACCCATCGAACAATCCTCGCATGGCTAGGTTTTGTCCGGCTTAACACCAAGGATGAATCTGGCATGAGTTATATTTCTCCGGTACAATCCGCTGATCAATCTAGTACAAGCTGCGTTTCTCCTAAAGCCGTGAACCAATCTCATGGATTTCACAACCTGTTCGCATTTCCGGCAGCCATTCTTAGTCATAGAAGGTCCTCGCGCTTTTTTGGGGGCCCCATCCGAACCAACCGACAACACCAGTGGAGCCCCAAATCCCCTTGAGGATGGATCTGGCGCATGGCCATCTGCCGGAGTTGCGGACTTCACCTGGGCTGGCGCTTCGAGAGCAGGTGGGTCCCATTCGAGTGGCCGAGCTCCTTCCAGCGGCCTGTCAAGTCCCAGAAACGTAGCTGAACGTAGCCTTACATATCCTTTGACTCGCTTCTTGAGTTCAGGGATCAGGGACTTTAGACTTCTTTTGGGGAGACCATTGTAGTGGTAAACAAACATCTGACGGTTTTGGCCCATCCACTCAGAAATTGTGTTGAGCCTTTTGGTTTTTGCCAGATTTGGCGACCATGTTTCGTCCAGGGGTCCAAAAGGTTACCCTCCCTCCCAGGTTGCCATGGCTCTCGACGGAGGGCCACTTGAAGAGGAAGTGGATCTTCCAGGTCCCACAAGTGCCATGGCAACCCTTTGAGGGAGGATGACCTTTTGTGTCTCGAGGGGTACCTTCCGTGTCCATTCTTTCCAGGCATCCTTCTTTCAAAAAAGCTGGTTTTCCGTGCCCAAAACCCTGCGGAAACAGCTGGTTTTTGCAAAGAACGATGGTTGAGAAGAATGGGCAATCAACCCCTAGAATGTTTGGGTCCTTTGGCGGGAGACACCGGATGAAACCCCTGATTTTTGTTTTTTGCGGGGTGACCCATTCAAGAGGGAGCGAGGAACACAGCCCTTAACAAACCAACAACTTGATTCATCCGGGGTATCATATGCCCTTTTGAAGGCAGGTGTTAAGCATCACCTTACGCAAGCGGAAGAAGAAGAACAACCTGATTCATTGTGCAAATTTGGGTTTGAGGTTGCCATTTGTTGTGAGCAATGACAATTGTCATAGGGATGGGACACCTATAAATTTCCTCAAGCATGTGCGAGCAGCGCATCACGTGGAACTGGAGTCCTGAAATACGTCAGATGTTTGGATCCAAACCGATGGCCGTTCCGGGCATGACCCAGATATGGGTGTGGGTTTCAAAATAGGTACCCCAAATGCAACCCTGGTAAATGGAAACAAAGACTAAAACCAGCGGTCCTCTGGTGGTTTAATTTTGACCCATACCCATATGAACCAAGTGTTGTTCTGTTGCTTGCAGCTTCACATTTTGCATTAAAGAAGCAAAAAAGACTCGGGGTGCATCAGCTCCTTGGCTGTACCTGGCTCTCCACTCCTCCCCACCTTGAAGCCACTGCCCGTAAAATTTGTGCCGTTCCGTTTGTTGTAAATGGAGGGCCGACCAAGTTATTAGATTCCAGCTGGCCTACAAACAGTAAACAAAACAGTATCTATGGGATGGTTTCCACTACCCTCAAAACACTACCACCAGGAAAAAACAAGGTATTAGACACCTCAGATTTTAGGTCAACGTTTGGCGACATGCATTTGTGCTCTACTCGCATGATGACAGAAAAGGTTTTACTCCCAGGTTGAACATTGACCACGTTTTCTAAAACCAGTTTAGGGTGGTTGCAGGATGATCTCGTCAGTCACACTGGATAGAGCACAGAACCCACCAGGGGGTCCCTTTTAAAGGAAAATAGCTTCCCCTCAGTCAGATTTCATGTTCGTGGATGCACCTGGGGATGAGGATGCATCACAGCTGCTGCTGCCACCAGCCAGGTACAATTGGATCTTTTTGGCAGACCCAGCTGCACACCTGCTTGCTGGAACTCAGTGTGCTTCTGGAAGAGTCAGCCCAAGCAGCGCAACTTCTTTCCTTGGAATGTGGCCTGGAGACACAACCCAGTCACACGGGCGCTGCTGCTTGCAAATAGTCACACTCCCTGGCCGAAGGAGACGACCAGGCCGAAGTGCTGCGGATGTTGTGCCGACTCCACGCGCAGATGGCTTACGGATCAAAACCAACAGTTAGAACCAGTTTGAGAGTCTAGCTAGATAGGGGGAAACGGAGTGTGTACGCATACATACATACATATATATATATATATATAATAATAATAATATATAAGTACACAGCCACCACATAGCCACTTTAAATAAGTATGTATGTACAACTTTCCCTGGGTCCGATGGTTGTCAAGGGCTGGGTTTTTTGTTTTTGGGGTGTCCAATTCCCTTTGGGCTGGGTCTCCGGGGCAAGTGAGCCTCAAGGATCCCATGGCAATAAGGATCCCATGTTCCCGGACAACTTGTGAAGGGGTTTCCCTGGGCAAAATGAAGCCTCGCGACCCACGGATTTTGCTGGTGCTACGTAGAGAATGTGGGAATAACCCCAAGGATTCCCTTCAAAAAGAAACAACCAGTTGGACGGTTTTATAGGGGTCGTTCCATTTCTCATTTCCTACTGAACACCAGCAAGTTTTTTCTTTTCCATTCGTTCCTCCGGAAATCCGCTGGGACCTGCAGGTCTTGGAACCGCTCCGGCGGCCGCGGCCAGGCGGCGCTCTTCTGGGGCCTGATCTGGCGGCAGCTTCGGGCGCAAGACGGAGCGGGTGGCAAGGAGCCAAATGGGCAACTCCAAACAGACACCCTCTCTCCCACTAACTTAGCACCTGTGGGAGGGTACCTGGAAGATCAATCTCCTCTTGTAGGGACCCCTTGTCAGGTGCATGTTAGTGGGAGGAAGGGTATAACTCCGAAGGAGTGTGGTGTGCTTCTTTCTTTTTGTTGTTGCAGGTACGGTTTTTTGGAGAAGGGGTTGCCTCAAAACAGATGGAACAAACGCAAAATGGTTGGTTTCCCTTTGTTTTCCTTTTGGCTTCCCCTTTAAAACCAAAAGGGGGTCCCTTAAGAACGACACCTCAATGGTCTAGGGCTTGCTTCCCCATTCTTTTCAGCCATCATTTTTTGAAGAAACAAACAGCACTGCAGAAGTAAGCTGGTAGGTTTTGGTGCAGGTGTGTCGTCCTCGCTCCCTGCGTTCGGGGGCTTTGGGAAGAGAACTTTAGGGGTGTGGGTCACAAATAGGCACCCTGGGAAATGGGAACAATGACTAAAACCTGCTGTACCCTTCGCTTCAACTTTGACCCACACCCTTATTGGTATTTGGCCCATCCACTCAGGAAGTGAGCTTCAAGTTATCTCCAAATGAGGGATCTAGCAAACAAACCCGGGGAAACTCAACGATCCACGAGATTTTGGATCGCTCAACAACCCGCGGGCGAAAGCCATGAAGGCCTTTGGATCCAGTTGAATCGATGTAACTTGCCGACCAAATGGTGGAGCCCCCAAACAGGGTTTCTGAGCCATTTCCCTTTCAAGCGAACCTCCAAAAAATAGCCATCCGTTCAATGGAAAACACCAGTACATCTGGCAACTTTGGATTTGGGGAAACCCGTGACCCGTGCCAAAACGAAGCCCCTTTTCCCATGCGCTTTGAAACTAGAGTCATCGTTGCACCAGACTTACCTAACCTTAACTTTCGACCAGCAACAAGTTGTGCTTTGCCATCTCCAGAACATTCTCCAAAAAATCAGTAAAACACCCACAAAAGCCGCCTGTTTGGGCGATTTCCTGGACAATTTCCCGGTTTGATGGGTTTCTCAGCCGGTTGCTGTCTTTGCTGCAAGCGAGCTGCAAGCCTCGAGCTGTGAGGCACCTCCGAGAGCGGAAAGCCGCCGCCGGGTCGTCGGCGTGCCGAACGCCGGCGCTGACGTGTCCCAAGGAGAGCCCGAGGTTTGGAGCCAGCCGGGCGAAAACCACTGGGTCCCCCAGTAGTGCACTTTCTCACCTTTTTTCTTTTTTGGGAGGGTCCCCCTACTAAACTAGACTACAGAAATAAGGGTGCGCTTATTCTAACCTCTCCACTAACCTCTCTACTGGAGGACCTAGGAGAAAGTCATCCTGGTTCTCGTTAACTTGCGCGAGCGGGGCTCGGAAAAGCAGAAGCCTTCGCAGGGAACCTGAACCAGTGGTTCTCTTGCTGAAATGCATGGAATGAGGGAATGAACCACCATAAGCCATTCCTTGTGGCTGCCGCAGGTGCATTCCCAAAACCCGGGGCGTTCCGTACTGAGCACCAGCAATTTCTGTTTCATTTGCAGCCTACCCTACAAAGGAAGAGGGGACTGTGGCAGTGCACTTGTTGCTATATTTTGTTTTGCTTGTGCAGGCAAGTTTGCGTTGTCTTAGTTTGCACTCGCTTACTTGATGTGTAAGGATTATTATGTTGGAAAGGACATCCTGTGTAGCGTGTATTGAAATCCCCATGCGATCCGCCGATGCCAGTGGACAGCCCCCTATTAATAAACTGGGGCTGATGTCACGTGGGGCTCTTCACGCGTGGAAGAAGAACAAACAACGCCCCTCTGACGCCGGCTGCAGGGTGCCTTGAATTTGGGGTAGGGAAAAAGACGTCTTTTTGCCTAGGTCACATCGGGCTCTTAACATGTTGAGGGAGAACAAACAACGCCTCGGCTGCAGACACTAGGGTCTACTCGTTAAACCACCCCCGAAAGGGAATAAAAAGCAAGGCCCCATGTTTTTGTAAGTGCAACAAGGCCTTCTTGGCACATGCAAGGGATGCAACCATACAACTTACAGGAACAGACCCAATCTTCTCGCGCTCAAGATTTTAAGACTTTCAGACACGCAACATTGACCAAACACAGAAAATGCCAGAGATGTGTGGAATGCTGAGAATGCAGCCGGCTGGCCGCAAAAGTGCAAAAAAACAGGGTTTTTCAATATTTCCCAAAAGCAACCATCAAACACCATTACTAGCAACCCCCTCAAATACCCTGAAAATACACTTCCAAAAGTATGATAATGCAGGGGATGTTTCGCAGCAACTGCTCTGTACAGGTGGGGAATTGCAAAAAACACTCAATTTTGCAAGTTCAAACAGTTCCTCAAAGTATCACTGCACTTGGCCCTACCCAACCCCTAAGAGGCCAATTCCAACATCGCTTGAAACAGCAAAACACCACTACAAAAAAAAAGGGACAAACTCATGGCAACAAGATAATCCTGATGATGCTGGGGATCCAGATCCTGCGCGTCCGGGCGAACCCCCCCCCCCCCCGTGACCCCCACCCCCACCGCCCCCGCCTAGAGACCTAGGCGAAACGCAGATTTTTAGCACGAAAGACAAAAAACACTGGAAAAGTCCCAAAAGCCTTCGGCTTTGATAAGAGATCCCGAAGGAAGACCAAGTTGCGGACTGCCATCTACACGCTCGACTGGATTCGGCGGATTTCGGCTTTTGACTCGAATCATATTGTTAAAGGAGAGTCTGATTGGATTATTGCTTGTTTACAATCTACTTGAATTTAGTTAAACATTGCATACATATAATACATAATAAGTAGATGTTCGAACATTGGGAACGAATGCAGGGGTCCCAATCTTTAAAACAAATGAATTCAACCGCTACCTGATTTGTAAGCAACATTATTCTGAAATGAAATCATGGGTGAAGTTGATGCCCTTATCAAGTTCCGTTCGAACTCAGTAGGAATTTATGTAAAACATGTAGAGTATATTAAGTAGAAAATAAATTAGAGGTCGCACAATCGCGTGTTCACCTAGCCCCCAGCACTACAATGGTCAGCAAAAACTGTGCGGCACAGTCTTAGTGATGATACTCTAAATTCACATGTTCACCGAGGCCTCAATACGGAAATGCATATTCCGAATCCAGTTGGAAGTTCAATATTAAATTTGGAGTTCCATAGAACTCCTCGCGAAATAGAACATCACAATTAATTCGAGTTGACGTAGCATTTGATTAATGTGGAATTTAAACAGTAACTAGTCCTTTTCAAGTTGGACTGTAAGCAGGAGTTTCTTTCCAACATATGTCTTCACACATGATTAATATATATATATACACACGAGAGTTCCACTTGAGATTCCATTTTAAATTGGAATTTGTTTAAAGAAGTGTGTTTCCATAAAAAAGCACCTCCACTGGATCAACACTGCCGACTACCAACAACCAAGCAGCCTTGAGAAAGCCAAACAAGCAAAAACGGGAGGGTAGTTTCCGAAGAGGACCTGCAGAGAGTTGGCAAAGCCCTGGGAAAATGGGGGATTTCTGAAAAGAGTTGTGCACCCCCCCCCAAAAAAAATGGTGGTTTCCATGTTCTTTTGGTGGACGAGGTCATGTTTTCACTGGCGCAATCGTTACAGGCAGCGGGCGCTTCAGGGGCGGGGTTGGACAGGCATAGGTCAGGAGGTGTTTTTTTGCCTTGCCTTGGTTCTCAGTCAGGGTGTTGGGAATGAACCGGAAAGGGATGTACGGGAAACCGCCAGCATGCTTTAGTCATTCCCTCATTCCCTGAATCAGGAAGATGAACGCGTCACCCAACATGGTTTCATGGACTGTAAACTTTTGGGTTTTGGCCATTTCAATCCGTGGCAAACAACAACGCTTGGTTACTTGTTCTGGCCAATCCAGTCAGGAAGTGAGTGGTTGGTGTCCCTCATTCCCTGCCTTCGAAACAGCAAGTGTTGTCTTCAGGGTTCCCGGCATTTCGCATTCCAATCAGATGCTGAAAGCTGGGCGGACAATAGGGGGAAAGCAGGGGTCCCCGTACTCACTCCCGGGGAAGCACAAAAAGTTCAAACAGTTTCTAGCCGAACCACTGAGGAAATGACTTGTCGGTGCTCAGTAGGGCATGTGGGAATGAAGCCAGGGGTCCCCTCAAAGAAAACCACCAATTGGATGGTATCAAAGGGTCATTTCATTTCTCGTTCCCTGCACCTCTCGCACAAGGTGAGACAACGGGTGGGTTCCTGCTGCCACGCCCAGGAGCACCCGCTGCGGCTCTACGCCACACCCCACGAGCACTACGCCTGCGACGGCTGCAACCGCCAGGCGCTTTCCACGCGCTTACGCGCGCCCGGGGGGTGCGTTCGGGGGTTCAAGCGCGCGCCGGAAGGACATGGGGGCCACTGACATGACATTGAAAGAATCGTGCCCTGAGGCCCCGAGTTCCTGGACTTGACGCTTTGTGGGTTTTGACCTTACTGGCAAATCAAAGTTTGGTTACTTTTTGTTGGCCAATCCACGCAGGAAGTGAGAGGGTGTTTTCCAGGAGTGTCCAATTCCGCACTGCAAGCAATTTTGAGAAGCCCTCAAAATGCAACGACTTTGATTAATGGACTGAAAATGCAACCATCATGGACTACTTCTACCCCGCCTTGTTTGGGAGGAGGGGGTCCCTCTCCCCGGAGTGACTGCTTGTGCAGTTTTGTTGGCCAGGAACGAAGTGTATTCCGGGCGGGTAGGGAATCCACAAAGCTCGGATATGAGTAGGTGGGTAGGCATCAACCGCAAATGTCGCACTAAGGCCAGAGCAAAGGTCTCAGCATATAAGGGCCTCAAGAATTGCTGGAAAAAGGCGATTTGCCGCATTTGATGTTGAGATCCAGTGGTAAAAAAAAAAGCGTGGCTGCGGCTTGAGTTACAATGAGAATAGTTTTCTCAACTTGGCAAGTTTCCTGGAGGCAAGGTATTCCTGGTTTTGAGGTACTACCGAGTGCTAAGCACTGAGTCCAGCCTCGTTAAGCCTTGGTCGGACCTCAGGGCTCTCAAAGGGGGGTAAGTAATCCATGAAACCACTTTAATGGACCCAGCTACAGCTCGTTGGGTGTTAAAAATGGTTCCCCTCTTGCTTTTGGTGGGAACCATTAGCCGACATGTGTTCTAAGGGGCCACAATATGATAGTATTTTCTGGTTCAATTTCCGGACTCGGATTCAACACCCGTTCTCTGGGCCCGATTGAGCCGTGATTCGAAAGTCGTTTGCATTGGCATGTTGGAAGAAAGGTGTGTGGTGTTCGGTTGCGTGGCGCCATTTCAGAAAATGGTCAGATATTGTTGATTCTCCCGGCGGGCGTCTTTGATTCTCCCCATCGCTCATTTGCTAAGAAGCCAGCGACTGACCATTTGCAGGGCTGCAGAGATACCCGCAGCGACCGAGCGAAACTGGCTCTGAGCCACCGGGTCAATACGCCCTCGATGGAAAGGGCAAGTTGAAACATGGGGTGTGTCTTTCTTGAGGACTTTTATTGCTGTGGTTGTGGAGGAAACCAACAGGAAAAAAACACACTCTTTTTTCCGTGGACACCCTAAAAACGACACATCCCATATTTCAGAACTAGGGGCTCTTCAAAATGGTTTGTGCCAAAAGGGGGAGCACGCCCCAAACTAGTCACCAACCCGCATGTCCGCACTCACATTCCGAGGGAGAGAATTTACGTGGAGCCTACTGAAGAGTCCCAAAACAAGATAAGGTCCTTTGCACATGTCATATGTGTGCTTTTGGGGGTTCATGTTGATTTTCAGCACCTCCGGAGATGATGGTGGATGGCACTTGAAGGCTATATAGCTGCTTGCGGGAGTTCCAGAATGCATTTTGGAACCCAACAAGTGGCCGGGGAAAAAAAGCCAGCTCATCGATTGTTTGACCTGGTATATTCTCCCTGTTGATTTTTGTCTAGCCAACTGACACTTGCGAATCCAAGCTTGCCAGCTCTTGAGAGGAGATCTAGGCTTCCAATTCCGTTCTACCGGTTCTACGATTCTACCACTCACTGTTCCGAATGGCCAATATGTTTGACCAAACTCAGACCAGGGTCACTGGGCAATTGTGATTCTGCTCAAGAATCCTTCTAATGGCGGCCAAGCACTTCTTCCAATCATCTTCCCAGACCTCCAACTCACTCCCTGAGTTCATGGACTTCAAACTTCTCCGCAAGACTATTTTAGTGGCAAGCCAAAAGTTTGGTGTCTTTGGTTTGCCAGTCCGCTTGATCGGACGTGAGCCAGTAAATCGCTTCACTTGTTCATCTTTTCATGGTTGTTGTTGAGAACATTTTGCATTTTTGCTTATTGTGATTTAGTGGAAAATCCCCACTGAACTGCTAACATTTAAATTGTTGCTCCCTTCTACCGACAGCCACGTTTTTCTGGAAGGGTGTGTCCCTTTTAAATCAACTGCTCAAAAGATTTGCAAATCTTGTGGCCGCCGGCGGGCTTGGGTAAGGCCTATGTCAGCATGATTGTCCCTGTATTTATATCTTACGGTTGTCATGTTGTTGTTTTTGTTTCATGGAAATGGGTGTAAGGCCAAAATCCACGTGTTTTTCCTAAGTCTTACGGTTTTGTCCAATCTGTCATGGGTTTTATGTTTTCCTTTGAACTGGTTACAAGGCCTATATCCACCTGTTGTTCCTGTATCTTACAGATTTTGCATTTTGCCATGGAACTGGCTATACGGACTATATCCACCTGCATTTCCTCCTATCTTCCGGATTTCATGGTTTTCCCATGGAAGTGGTCATAAGGTCTATATCCACCTGCGTTGCCTATATCTTCCGGACATATTTTCTAAAAACTCCTACGGTTTTGTTTGCATGGATACGAGGTCCCCCAGTAGTGCCCTTTTACCCTTTTTTTAGGGGGAGGGTTCCCCTACTAAAATAGACCACAGAAAAAATCGGGTACCAACTTATTCTACTCTCTCTACTGGAGGACCTAGGATATGCCTACACCAAGCTTTCCTACCTAAGGCCTCCTAGCTCCAATCCACGTGAGGCCAAATCTGGGGAGCATTTCTGGGGTTGCGGTGCTTGCGACTACGACCTCTGCGCCGGGTGCAAGGCTAAGGCGCGGTTCTTTTCGCCCGTGGCGCATCTGGCGCCCAGCTTGGGCACAGCTCGGATGGCACTCGGGTGGAATAAACCCTCTGGGGATTTGGTTGCCCAAATCAGAACTTCACAATTTGCCAGCGGCCCGGGTTACTTTTCCTGGAATCCAGTAGTGGGTCAACCGACCAAAGACTCAGTTGCCCAGCTTGGACCTGGACATGAAAGGTGATCATCTTCTGGAACCTTTGCACAATTTTGCCAAAATCAGGGAAGCCAAAAGGTCATTTCAGGTCTTGAAAAGTAACAAGGAGTTTACGGTAAAAACTTCCGCCATTTCCCAGTTACAATGCTTTCCAATTCCAGAGGCACTTCTGAATCCAAGCCGTAAAAAATGAGAGCATCGACCCTGCCATGCAATTTGTGCGTGTGCGTGTGTGTGTGTGTCCCAATGGGGGGGGGGCGGATGCCGAAAACAATGTGCGGCTTCCTGTTGTTTTTTCTTTGGTGCGACCTTTCTTGGCACTCCATAAAGAGCAACTTCCCACTGCTTAGTGGTTTGGAGCCCGGTGGTTCGGCGGTTACATTTACCTTCTAGAAGAACCAGGGGGTCGAATCACATCCACCAATCCGAACCACCAAACAAGGTGACCTGATGAAATGTTGACTCTGGATAGCTAGGGGGATGGGGCTCCTCAAAGGGGAATTCTATACTTGGCCAAGAAAATCCGTTAGCTTTAGGGAGTCCCACATATGTTAACCTCGGGTCCCATGTTAACCTTGGATTGATAAACCCTGGTTGAATTTGAGCTTTTCGTGGTTGGATCCAGGCCACTTTTGAGGGGGAACGCTCCCTTCATAGAACGAGTTTAGCTCATGCCCAAAGCCAACCTGAAATCACCTTCTGGTTTTCCAGTTTTGGCAACCATATTTCTTTTCCAGAATTAGCTCCCCTTTGGCATTGTTGCTTTTTTGGGGTTCCTTTTGTTTTCCACTAACCAGGCAAAAAAACTATTTTTTTGCTGGGGCCCTAATTCCAGCCTAGATTTAGCCGTTTGGCTCCAAAAAGTGATGACTTTTAGTTCTTAGGTCCTGTTACCTGGCCCGAGTCCTTGCTGCGCAGCTGTTAGCCCGAAGAGGGATGTGAACCCAGAAGCTAGAATTCGCTCCCCCCCCGTCGACGGCCTCGAATTTCAAGGGGCACGTCTTTTGTTCAGGTGCGTAGATGCGCACGAAAAAGCTGGCCCCGACAGCGCGGCTATTTGTCTACCCCTTCACCTGATCTTTTCACACTGAAATATGTTGACAGATCTTTGTTTTGGCCGCTCCCTTACAAGAGTTTGTTTTATTTCGTTCCTGAAACAAACTTGTGAATGTTGAGGGTTTTGGATGGGATTGGGGTTTAGGAGCTTTTGTATTTTGTGTGGTTTCGTGTTGTTTTTTAGTTTTTTTTTTTTTTTTTCAAGGTGTGACGGTTTAGGGCAAAGTGTTGGTTTGGGGCTCGATGTTTTTTGGGGCCATGGTATTGTTCTCGGGTTGAGGGGGTTGCGGTTCAGATCCTTTGGTGCTGTTTTGTTCAGTTTGTTCTAGGGGTTATTCCTTTTCCATTCTTTGCAACCATCGTTCCTTTCAAGAACCGGATCCGTTTTCTTCGTATCCCTGGAAAGAATGGACATGGAAGGTACCCCTTAGAGTTTTGGGGTTAGGACCGAGGCCTTTTACCGCAGTTTGCGGTATGCCGAGATCTCCAGAGAGGCACTCTTGAGCTCAGCCATGATGCCCCTGGAAATGACAAGCCAAATGGCCAGAAGGGTGTTTGCCCTTTTTTTCTCCCAACAACCAAAAAGTTGTTCTCCCTTTGGTTTCCAGTTTATGCCACAAAAAAGGGGCGCCCTGAAAAAAGCCACCCCCCGAGACAACTTGCCAAGAGGGGGCGGGACTTGATACATGGCTCCAGGCCCTTCATTTCACGCTCGTAGGTGTCCTTTTTAGGTTAGTTTGGTTAAAAATAGATGGGTTTCACTGGTTTAGATGGGGTTTATGCCCCATTTACCAGGGAAACCCATCGATGTTTTCCAAAAGGCCACCCTTCGTTTCAGGCTTGGAGGACTCGGTCTTCCCCAGTGCCTTCGGCTATGTCCGGCAGGTCGTGCACAGCCCGCAGAGCCCGGCTCCGGCGCGCGACAAGGAGAAGGCACAGGCAGAGAAGGAGAACCAAGTGGCGAACAATCTGCGCCTTGGAAGTCTAGCTTCCATCTGCTGAAATGAAAATATGTTTTGTTTTTCACTTGTTGGTTTCAAAAGGAATTTATGACTAGCGGAAAGATTTTTCCCAGGGGTCTTAACCAAATGGGAGCTGGCCGGTAGTGGGAGCCCAGGATGTATTGGTTTAACATGAAACCCCTTTTGGGGAGGTCCCCCGCCCCCCCAACAGTAGCTTCCTTTAAGCATGATGGTGGTTTGGGTCGCATAGTTATGTGCAGCGTAATGGGACTGCCAAATGGAACCAGCATTGCAGCATTGGGGTCCCCAAGTTTTGCGCTTTGTGATTCGCGGCCATGAATGAGGAAGGAAGCCACTAGCTGATCAGTGGCGAACTGTCAAATTTTAGAGATCTTTGCCTCGGGAGCCGCCCCTTGCTTCTGTGCCAGGCCAATTTGTCAGGGATCAACGTTGTTGACCTTGTGCTTTTTGTAGGTAGGCACGGTTGGTCCCTTAATCATGCCAACAGAGATTTGGGAACACTTTGTAAGTCACCATAGTCTCTGGTTCTTGTACTTGCAATCTTGAGGGGATGCGCGTCACGCAGGATTACTTCTAGTAAGTACGGACCTGTTGCTCTGGTAAATTATGATTCCCTGTCAAGCTAGAACTCAGGGGAGCCAAGAACTATACTTGGCCAATTGTAGGTTCATGCCAGGTCTTTTGGTCACCAATTCCTGTGAGATGGCTTGCTGAGGCTTTGGCAAGCTGTTGTTTAGGGGGAGCTCACCGATTTGGGAAGGAATATGTATATAGGTCCTTTGCTTGGGCATTCAATGCTTGTTGCAGGTTCTGCTTCTTTCTTTGCACAAAACTACTGCGGGTTGCAGGTGTCAACCATGTTTTCTAGACATTCCTTGCAGGGCTCAGGTCGAATTCCTTCCCGGCAACCGGCCTGTCTGACTCCTGGGGTTGGGCTGCGGATCTTGCTTCCATTGTCCCACTTGCGGGTTCTTGAGACTTGTTTCACTTCTTGCGCCGCCATGTTACTGAAAATTGCAACAAGTTTCAGCTTGTCACAAAAATCCGCTGTGAGTTTCTGATTTCTCGCTTGCCCAAAGCGAATCGACCTTTCAACATTTTGGTTCTTCGATGAGATCCATGAAAAGAGCCAAGGTTCCAACAGGTGATTTGGGCAAGTGCGTCAGACGTTCGGAATCCGAGGATGCCCATGATTTTGCTCCCGCTTCCACCAAAGGCCGGTCTGCCGACGTTTTTTGGGGCACACACACACACACACCCTTTCCAACACCCGGACATCCCCCCAACGAGAGCTCCTATAGGTTGCTTTAAACATCGCCTTTGGGCGCAACTTCAAGTGGGTTCCCTTTTGGTGAGATGTTTTTTAGAGTGAAATTGGCAGAGGGTGACCCTTGCAAGTTCATGAGAATTGAATTGGGGGACCTCCATGGCTTAACCCGCACTCTAACAGGGTAGTTGCTTTCCCTCGGGGATATGCCAAGACTGTTCAGCAAGAGGTGGCAGAAGTAAGTTGGGACATGGGTTTCATTCGAGCCACCCATTCAGTCAGTTCGCATGCAGCTCTCCCCTCTTTCCCTTTGCTCCCCAATGATTTCGCACAGATCTGCACTTGGGAATGCAGTTCTGAACGCCCCGTTTTGAGTCGGGACCCAAATCATTCACCTAAGAGGTGAGCCTTCTGGGGGGAAAGCCTTGCTACAATTCCCTTCAAGGGGAGGGAGAGTTGACGGGATAAGCTCATTGGTTGCCCTGAGCTTCCGAAGGACTTTATGTTCAGGCTTTCATGGACAACTCAAATCTTTCTCTTTCTCATTCAAATGCCCTTGGTCCGGACGGCCACCCAGGCTGAAAGGCCGCGCGTTTTTACCCAGTGGCCTAGTCTTCTTTCTCACCCTGTCACCAAGAATCTGGAAAACGCTTTGCCCTGCCGCCTAAAATTTTCTGTGACCCAGAATCTGGGAGACGCTTTTACCCTGCCCTGTCGCCCAGAATTTACCGTCGCCCAGAATCTGGGAGACGCTTTTACCCTGCCCTGTCGCCCAAAATTTACCGTCGCCCAGAATCTGGGAGACGCTTTTACCCTGCCCTGTCGCCCAAAATTTACCGTCGCCCAGAATCTGGGAGACGCTTTTACCCTGCCCTGTCGCCCAGAATTTGCAGAGTGTATGGCTGCGCAAACAGTCAATGTGAGTTCACCGTTAGCATGTGCGATCTGCCAAGAGAGAGGGAGTTCCCCTATGTCTGCCACGGGTTTGGGAACACATAACTGGGCGCGCTCGCTTGCGCAGCGAGCGTAGCGGGGAACTCACAGGGCCGAAAACGAGAAGGGGACACCCTAAGTGTTCGAATTGTGTTTTGCTGCGCCGGGCTTGCCCAAGAAGACCTCAATCCTTGTCACAGGGCCATTTTCAAGGCATTTGGGTGCCTCGCGAGTTTCGCGCTTCCGCAATTCCACGTCCACTTGGGGAATTTCACGGCCGCATTTCACGAAATCCCGGTTCCGCAGCCATTTCGTGATTTCACAGCCAAAGGAAATCCTGACAGAACTCCACGCAGTGTGTCAACCGGCAGTCAACCCAGACCTGCAAGCCTGCGCGCATGTCCTCGACACGCGCGAACCATTGTGAGGGGCTCGGCGCTGTCGTTCCTGCCCGCAAGCACCCCCCCCAGACTTAGTCATCAGTGGCTTGCAGCGATCGCCCCAGGCGCGCTTCGCAAACTGCTGGCGGCAAGATCACGTGGCTCTTGTGCTTCAAGCTCTCAGGTTTCAGGGGGCCATCTCTGGGATTGTGGTTGGCCTTTTGGGCGTGAACATATGAATTTCAGGACAGGCGGCCCCCGATTCTGGTTTTCGGCTTCCTTTTTTTGGGGGGGAGGGGCCGGGGGGGGGGGGGGCGTGAACTTCCGTGAGCTTGCGTGAAAAAGACTCTAAACTACTGCATTTTGGCGTGAACTTGCGTGAGCTTTCGTGAACCTTGGAATTTGCAATTATGATTGTTAAGAAACATTTGCGGCCAGCTGTGGGGGTTTCGCGGCTGATTCACGGAATTTCGCGGCCATTTCTAGCTCGTGCCCATGGTTTCACGGCCATTTCGCGGCCATGTGCTGGAACCGGCGCACAAACCCCTCAAAGACATTTGTACGCGTGTCCAAGTTAACCATTTAAAGCCTTCCACTCTTGCATTTGTTCGACCCAAATTCGCGCAAATGCTTCAACGCAATTAAGACCTGTCCACGCATCCGTCAGGGGTTTGGAGTTGAAATTTCGTGAATTAAACTTGTCCGGCGTGCGAACCTTGAAAACCTCACATGGCCGTGAAACAAATTTCTAGAGCAATCCCTTATATTCAGCTGCGCCTTTTCGCAGAGTGAGAGTGGAAGGTGCTATTAGAAAAAGCGCCAGCGGCCTGAGCGCTATCCAAGAAAACGATGTGATGGCTTTAGGCTTTAGCGTTACTAATCAAAGCCTCTACGAGTCCCTTGACGATGGTGGGGAAAGAGGAAACGCATTGAGGTCAATGGCTGGGAAAAATACAAAAAGCATCGAAAGGGCTGATGGTGCCGAAGTGCCCACTTAAGGTTGCGCCACTTGCAGTCACTTGCAGGCCCTTAATTACAAGCTAAAGGCAAATGAGGCTCATGAGGCGATAAAAATCTTTAGAATGTCTGTGCGCCGCTCTTTCTCAGGATTGACCGAAAGACTTGCTTTTTCGCAGGGACACGCTATCAGGGCAGGTGTGCGAGCTAACCTCCCTCGACCTCTTCCCCCCTCTGTCTCGTTTTGTTGGCTCCAAGTATCTGGGTCAAGGTTGCAGTTTAAAGGTATACTTGCGTTTCTCGCTTGCGCTCGCCACTCATGCAACTGAACTCGGCGCGCCCTATACGACACTGGGTTCCCTACAAGGATAGATCCAGCTTGACAAGTGTTTGGCCTTGGAAATTGCATGACGTAACCTTGCGTCGGCGCAGCCGGTTGCGGCTTAAATTGTCATTGTGCCGCGCCTCGGCCGCTATTCTTTGGAACCCGGGTGGCCGATTCTTCGCCCCGGCGCCGAAAAAAACAACCTTTTGGCGCAACCTGCAGGATCCCAAGAGCTTGCTTTTCTCGACCGGCGCAAACGCAAAAGCGATACATTAGCGTCTCGGGCTCTAAACTATGTAGCTCAGTGTCTTTTACCCTCTCTTGGAATGTGGGAGACGCTTTTACCCCTGTCGCCCACTGTCGCCCAGAACTTGCCGTCGCCCAGAATCTGGAGAAGCTTTTACAGAATTTGGGAGTCACTTTTACCCTGCCCTGTCGCCCAGAATTTGCCGTCGCCCAGAATCTGGGAGACGGTTTTTCCCTGCCCTGTCGCCGAGAATTTGCGTCGCCCAGAATTTGCCGTCGCCCAGAATCTGGGGTTTATGCGCCAAATTCTTGTTGTCTGTGCCTGTGCGCGCGTGTTGTTATTGAGTCTGCGTTCTTTTTGGCCCCGCGTTACCGAGGAAGAAGCTGATGCTTGTGTGCTGAAACTAGCTGAAGCTCATGCTGCCAGCTTGCGTACTGATGACGGCAATGCGGAAACCAAGATCCCGTTCTCGGTCAAGTCCATGAGTGTGCAGAGCGTCACCATGTCGGAGTTCTTCTTCCGATGCAGCACCGATTTTCCGCAGATGGAGTACGGCAATAAGCGAGAAAAGGAGTCTTGCAGACTGTGGTTCGGGCAAGCCTTCAACCTTGACGAGTGCTACGAGTGGCTTGAGTCTCTGTCGCTGATTGGGTGCAGCGGCGAAAGGGGACGGGGAGCCGGGATCAACCCGCACGCCTCCACACTCAACACCCTCATAGCCCGCGGCAAGACGAAGCGCGCGATCTCAGCACGTGAGCCTTTCCATCATAGGGAACGGCCAGCCCTCCAAGTTGATTCTTATGGAACGAGGCTTGCAGGGCCAGCACGCTGCTGCCACTCGAGAAAGATTCATGATGTGCGTTGACTCCTCTGTGGCGCGTCATGACGTGCTGCCGCAGAACATGTTGGCTGCCAACCCGGACTTGCCCGCGTTCACTTGGCTTCCCTTGACGAGCCTTCAAGCCGCGATCTTCAAGTGGGAGGGCGTCGTGTTTTCGCGCAGGCTCGCCCGGAGACAGAGGACGACGGCAACGACGAAGGCTACCGGGCTACCCCATGATGCTGCTAGATGGCGTGCCCTCTCGAATCAGGTACATTGCCGGGTAAAAGTGTCCCCAGATTCTGGGCGACAGGGTGAAATGAGCGCAGCGCTGCTTTCGGGAGGCAAGGCAGGGCAAAAGTGCGTTCCAAATTCTGGCGTGGAGTGGAGAGTGGAGAGTAAGACGCTCTTTCCCGCCCGGAACTCCTGTTACCGCAAAAGCTTCTGAGATTCTTGGCAACTGGGCAACATCGTCTCCCAGCCTCAGGGCAGCACACAGTCCGGGCGACAGACATGTGTGGGCCAAAGCGTCGCCGCAGCTGTTTGAATCAGAGCCTTGGGGATCTTCTTTGTTTTAACCTGTTGAGTTTCGGAGACGTTTTTTTTACCCTGTCGCCCAGTCGCTCAGTATCTGCGAGACACTTTTACCCTCGCCGGAGACGCCTCTCGGAGAGTTTGCCCCTGCAGCGCAACAACTCGTTCCCAAGATTCCGTGCCACAGGGTGCAAAGCGTGTCCCAGTTCAGATAGGTGGGATTGTAAAAACGTTTCCCAAATTCTTGGTCAAAGCGTCCCCTGACCTTCTGGGCCACATGTTGCCCATGAAAAGTTCAGGGGGCCACAAGCCCAGATTCTGGCAGATGCTTGTTGTTCTTGGCCCAGAGTATTGCAGCCATTGTTTCAGGGACAGACTTAGAGTTGGGGCCTGCCTGGCCAGGTCGCGCGGTATTGGTCCTACGGCAGCTACTGGTAGCCTCTCGCAAATGCTGCCTGCACAGTGACTCGGTTGTGGCAGATGCCAGTGCCCCGTTTACTCGGTTGTTGTTTACTCACCTGTTGAATGTTAACTTCGGACTGACCCGAAGAACCTCTGCAAGTCAAGGGGCCCCAAACATATCCGCACCGTGTTCTGGGAGGGTGACGCACGCTCGCTGCACTGAGTCCCTGAACATTTTGATTTCGTGTGTTTCGTATGCGGGCGTAAATGATTAGAATTCGGGAAGGCAAGTGCAAACCAAAGTTGCCTTATGATCACGGCAGCATAATCTGTGTAAGTACTATGTTTGTCAAACCAAAAGTTTGGACTTCCTTTGGCAAGTCCGCTCAGCAAGTTGCTTTTTCTTGTGTAGCCAGTAGGCCATTGCCTCACTCCTCCTAATGGAATGTCCAAACCTTCAAGATTTTGAAGCGTTTTCTGGGAAGCAAGCATGGAAAGGGACGCCCAGAAGTTTGTGCAAAGGCCTATTCCAACTAAAACCCCATGTGTCCAAGTCTGCCAAAGCCTGCGCTGCAACCTCCAGGGCTGTGACATTACTTCACGGCCCGCGGGCGGCCAAGGACCAAAACGTGATCCTCGGCCAATATGTGACCCATGTGCAATCCAGCGAGCTGAACCCATTCTGCTTATATGGGATTGTCTCTCTTCAAGGTACTCCAAAACCACAAGGAAATTGTGATGCTTCCAGACTTCCAGTGGTGCCCTTGCAGTCAACTTGTTTTTTTTGGGCGGTTTCGCTTCAATTCAAGCAGCCAACAGAAGGGCGCGCCCTTTCTCACATGGCTGGAGGTTGCGCAAGCCCCATAGGTGTCCTTTTGGTTGTTTTGGTAGAAAAATCGATTGCCCTGGTTTGCCTGGCCCTGGTTTACCTGGTGGTTGCCATCTATTTCTCTGATTTGCTCCCGGACGTCCGTCAAGGAGCCGTGGTATTGCTTGGTCCTTGTTTTGCACGCCCGCCTGATCCGAAGGCGCGACCTGTACAGCGCAAAAGAGGCGGCTCAGCCGGCGGAACCCTCCAGCCCTGAAAAGCGAGCGCCGTTGTGCTGTCACTCATTCATAGGTTAGTTTGCCCCACCCCCTGTATCCCCCTCAAATAAATAAATAAATAAGTAAAAATAATGAACAAATGAATAAATGAAGAAATTGATAAATATAGATTGGCTTCGGGGGGGTAACTAGCCCATAACTTATGGGAGCTCAACGTCACAAACCTCCGGTGAGTTTAAAACATGGTGTCCCACTTTGGAAAAAACCATTGGGGAACAATCGCAACATGGTCCTTGCAATTGCAATTTCTTGCCAGTCCCCAGCCACAAAAAGCGCAAACGGGAAGTGGCTTGCTACAATTCGCTGATCCCTGGTCAACAATAATCCCCCCCCGCATCTTATCAAGAATGATCAAGGAATCAAGGGCCTCTTTTGGTGGTTCGCAGCCATCCCCTTAGCTTGCTAGGCTTGTAGGGTTTCGCGGGGTTCCCAGTTAACCTACTAACACTGAAACGTTTAGCAGGGGATCTGAGGATCCAGCTCTTTTAGCGGTTATTAAGTTCTTCCTTGAATCCAGGGGGCAGCATTGGAGATGGGATGGAATCTTTACACGACACAAATTCGGGCCTTTCCCCCTCATGTCAGTTGGTTGCCCCAAAAGGTTAATCAACGTTTATGCACTTTCTGTGATTCGCTTGGGGGGTCTTTCTTCAAATGGCAAAGCAGTCCCACAGTCAAAGAAATGTCATTGAACATCACCTTTTGGGCAATTTTGAAGTTAGCTTCCTTGTTGGAGACTTTTGGAGTGATAGGAAAGGTGAACCCGCACGGTCTGATACTGAAAAGTTGCAGCACCCGCGTGATTGGTGGTGTTGAAATCACCAAAGTCCCCTGGAGTTCCCAAATTCTCACTCTTCCTTATCATCGGGGCCCCCAGATCCATTTTTCCTAGATTTGGGTGAAAAGGAAATCCAAGGCCAAATTTGAGTCGGTATGTTCCCAACCCCCTGAGAAGCTCCCCACATGTGTTCCAAGGCAAGGTCCACGGGCGTCGTATGCGATCGGCTTTGGACCCATGCGACCAGAGCCACGAATCCTCGTGAGGCTCAATTGCAAGACTTCTGACAAACCCACTGCGCTGAACCCAAGACACCTCCAACAGGGTTGTAAATATATATATATATATATATATTTTTTTTTTTCCGAACTCCTTTCACACGAGGTAGCAGAAGATCCTATGAGATCGTCCAATATGCCGGCATTTTTTGGGTTCCATGATGATTTGGAGGGGAGGGGTCAAGCCGATTGATTGACTAACGATGTCGCTTTGAGTAGGTAGTAGGGGATTAACCCCTGGTGACGTCTACTGTTGACGTCGGATTTCCGCCGGGAAAGGGGGGGGCAGGGCGTCCAATAAATATGCCTTGCCATGCTAATATGGAAGACAATCAAAAGGAAAGCAGTTTGGTTCCACCCGCCAGGGGTTGTTGAATGCGTCCATGCGCGTATGTGTTATAGAGTAAACCCCAAAAACAACCCATGTTCCATTTGGGTGTCCCTGTGCAACTGGTGAGGCCACCCAAAAGAGATACCCTGAGAAACACAAAAATGACGAGCACGCTCTGTCGCTCCTTCGGCTCACTCCACGTGAGTTTGGCTGCCCTCGCAGGGGGCACGGCGGCAGCTGTGGCCACCTCTGGTGGAAAAGGACGGGGGGCTCTGTTTTGTTTCCAAACGTTTCCATGGTGAATCCAAGTTCCAGAAGGTCAACCCTTTGCTTCTGGGTCCTTTGGGCAACTGAGTCGATGGTTTCCCTACTAATTAAAGAACATGTTAATGCCACAAACATGCTGATGCCACAAACATGTCTCCGACGTGGGCTTGCATGAGTTTGGGGTTTGAGCTGTCAACTGACTGCTTGCGGAACAACAAATGCAACCTGTTGGTGGCAGTCAAAAGTATATCCCGAAAAAACGAGTTTGCACAGCAACAACATGTGGTGGTTCGAGTATGTCAAATTAAAATAAGAATAAAAATGGGGAGCTGATTATGTGTTTTGGCGAGGGATGTTCAAGTTTCGTGGAGTTCCACACCATTCCCAGTTGAAGATCAAATGTGTGGTGCCAAGTTGTCCTATCCACGTCCATTGTTGAAAAGGGAGTAAGTGCTACATATAATTCAATCAACAACACGTTACATGTATTGGTGTTGGTTCATTTCATTGTTTGTTGCTTCAATCCAATAGCATTCAGACGCTCCTCCGCCCTCCAGTTAGGTCAATCATGAACTGCGCATTGTTGTCAAACAAATCTGTTGGATTTTGTAATTGCGAGAAATCTGCCAGGGGGGGATTTGATTTGGAGCGTTGTTTTGTTCCTACATTGGGAATTCTGAGTTTGTGTTTTGCTGGCAGTGACTTCTGTGCCATGTATACAAATACATATCAGGGAAGCCGAAGCTGTGAATTGCTCTGGCAAGCAACAATGCCGTTGGTTGGTGATGGTTTTTTGGTACTGCGGACTTAGCACTTGGTGGGCGGTTTATCCCACGATTCAAAAGGTCTCATCAACCAACTGCCTCAGGGTTTGGTCTATGTGGTTTGTTGTGCCTGAAACCTGTGCTGGGTGGTATGCATGCTGCATACTTTGTGTCGACCCCTTGAAATTAAATTACCAATGCCTTTGTTTGGCAGTTGTTGAGCTAGTTTCTAGGAGATTCCTGGGGCTAACACTCATCCTGGCTTGGTACACGGAGCGACATGGAATCGTCCACGCACTCGCGCGTTTCGGGCCGGACCCAAAACCCAGCCAGTGGCCCTCATTTGGGCGGAGCTGTCGAGAGTCGAAGTGAAGTGACCGGTTGAGTCATTTGACTCCCTGAGTTCCTAAACTTTGAGTTTTTGGGGAAGGCCATCTTAGTGGTAAACAACAAGTGTGGTTGTTTTTCTGTTGATCAACGCAGAAAGTGAGTCATTGAAACCCAAACACTGATCATTTCAGAAACTCGCAGAATTTCAAAGCCTCAAATGAACCAACTGAGAATCGGCATGTGAGCACTAGTCCATGTTTGACCGCATTTGCTCATGTTCACCAGCATTCGAGTAAAATGAATTGGGTATAGTCAGCGAACTACCACTACATACCACGTGTTGCATATGAGAACAAGGTCTGGGGGGCAAAATGAATTTCGAGCTCAGCAGAAACAAATTCCAGTATCTCGATTTACCAGATTTTGCATTGCAAGGTCCAAATACGGATATGAGTCAAAATGAAACCACCAGGGGACCGAAGGTTGTTCTTGTTTCCGCTTCCCAGGGCAAGCCATTTTGTTTGTTTGACCCACGCCCACATGGACCAGGTTATCAAAGGTGCTTTCAGCGGAGGCGAAAACAGAACGGTGGTTGAGTTGATGGCCGCTTTCACAGGCAGCTGCAAAGCTCTTCGGTCTAAGCCCAAGTGTCTTCGGCGCAGGGTTTCCTGTGTTTGCCCATAAAACATTGCCAGACTCAACCTACAGATCAACATGTAAGACCTGCTTATTTAAGAACTGTTCCTTTTTGGTTTTCCATCATTTTGCCTTTTGACCAAGTCAAGTTGTTGCAGAGGCTCGGATCAGTCTGGTCACAAAGTGGTGAGGCTGGCATCACTTGTCGGTCAAGTCAATGTTAATTTGTTGTCGGGAGGGGAGAAATTTAAGGAAACCTGAGTGATTCCTTGCCCCGATATTTTGGCCTCCCTGATAGCTGCCTGGGGGCGGAACGCTAATTTATTGATCGGGCAGCATGTCCACAAGATCGTTCAAAATGGCACATTCCCCGCAAGGAGTTGAAACAGCAAATATGCTATTTGTTGGATGTGTGTCGGTTTCGATCTTGTTTAGTTTTGATTGTGCAGCGTGGGATATGTTCAGACCAACAACGTTTAATGCAAGACAGTAAACTGCAAAAATACATTCTTCAAACTGGCATGCGGGTGTGTCGTTTTTTTTTGGGGGGGTACTTGTGTTGCGTCTTGTCAAAACAAACAATAAGCAAGAAGGAAGCCAGCCAGGAGTCCGGGTCCACTAACTTTGAGACAAACCGGCATGCTTCGCGGGCCAGAAGAACGTCCCCGCGAGTTCCCGAATGCTTCCGTTGGGAGGCAATTTGAAGACACCCATGTTCACCTTGCCCCCAATTGGTGGTTTGTATGGGTGATTTGATGGCTAGGGGTGGGTTTCCTATTTTCCCTCTACAAGAACCAAGGGTTAAAATTTCCAAACCAGCAACCCAAACCAACAATTAAGAGACAGCCGACATGTACTTCTTTGTTTGCGAAGGATCCCGTCAGAATACTAGAGCCTTACCTTTTGAGGGCCAAAGAACAGACAGCTGCCAGATCTCCTTGAGCCGATATGCCTTGAGGGCTACGGATGCTCCTGGCATCCCCACTTTTAGTGGGAGTTAGCTCTTCTGTTTTGTGGGGCGAGAAATGGGAGCTGCCTACTTTGCTCGCGCGGAGTCTTCTGTTTCGTAGTGCCCTCTGGCTATGCCTCGCGGATTTTGAGCGCTTTCAACTTTTTGAGAATCCTTTGAAATCAACTACCAAACCTTCCCCAGAATTAGCTCCCCTTTTTGTTTATTTTTTTCTTT